ATATGGAGAGGACGTGGGAACTGGGGAATTTGAAGAATCGAAACTGCATGGGGAAAGCAAGGAACAGGAGCAGGAAAAACAACAACGGTACAGAGTAAGGTACATCTGTGCTTGTATTCGTACAGACAGCCCGTCGCAATGGAAAGGTGGGGTCGGTCCACGCACGGCATGGCCGCCAACGCCAACCTTGAATGAACGAGTGATGGATGATCTGACTGACTGGATGCTGCCAGCGTCAACAACAAGCAAACGCTAAAACAATGCCAATCAGTGCCAGCACGCCGTTGAGAACACCACCATCTGACACCCACCCCTAAAACCCCGTCTCGTCGACCAGTCAAAAGTAGATCTAGTTGAGTCGGGTGTCTTGGTAGGTACCAACTGCCGGCTTGGGGCCGTCTCTTTCCTTCCCACTTACAGCCAAGGCAAGAGGTACTTGGGCACAATGTCTCTTCCTTCCCAACTTCCGTCCACCTCTCGTGAGTCGTGGCACGCAAGGAAGCCGCTTCTTTCCTCGTCGTCTCCTCCCGAACCAGTCATTTCAAGACAAATGACAAACAAAAAAAAAGAACATGAAGAAGGTGCAATTTTCCAAAGTCGACACCATCATGTTCCCGCTCCGCTGACATGGTCCTGGCAACCAACGCCTGGCCTCGGCTCTGCCCCCAGCACAAGCATTCCCCCAGCTTGCAGCCGCCCAGTTGCTTGTCTTGAAAGATTTGAAGTGGACGCTGTTCGGCCCGTTTCCACGTCGCTGGCCCTCTTTCCCCATCACGTCGCCGCCTCTCATTCGCTCCTGCAGCCCAGCTCGCTTCGCACGCTAATTATTTCGCATCTATTTTTCTCTCCGCTGCTTCCATCAAGATTCTCCATCATCGTGAGCCTCAAGCCAACCTCTGACCAGTCACCGACCAACCTACCCTCCGATTCCGCCCGGCCATGCTCTCGCTGAAATTCTCACAAGGCCGCCGCGCCCTACGAGCGCCAACACCAGCAGCAGCAAATCTCATCGAATGCATCTATCCCGTCAGCCAAATTCTAAAACGTCAGCGGCTTCGGTCAAAACAGCCCATCGACCTCTCTGGCTTGTGTCCCTCACACCACCATGGTCCCCGGGTTGCGCCCACCGGTGCCCGCCGCTACCACATCCCCGACCGGCCTTCATGGTGTGCAGTAGCCGCCGTGCTTCGGCCTCTCCAGGGCATTAGGCACTTCAACAAACCGCATCACCTGCCTGCCCCCATTGCCCATCAACGGTGCCAACTACTGCCAACACTACTACTGCAGCGCTGTTGATCTCTTACACGAAAGATCTCATCCATTATCCTGCTACTTGAAAGACGCGAAAAGAAGACAGAGCCCTATGCACCCTGGACCCTGACTCTCATCCCAGTCTCCTGCGTCTCCATTTCCGGTCCGAATCTCTGCAGCAGCGCAGATCCGCCCCCTGCCCGACTGGATCCCTCGTCTTGTCTTTTCTGCTGCTCGCCCACACTCCCGCTCACTCTTTCGGCCTTTCCTCGATGCCTTTTCCCCCAGGAGCCCCATCTGCCACTCGCCAAGCTGCTGGCATCATCCCGCCGCTACTCTGTTGAGCCGCACGCGGCTTTTTGCACTGACGCGCTTCCATGGTTTGCAGCATAAACGTGATGGATTTTGTCCTATTAGACACGAAAATTTGTTTCTTCAAGCAGAAAGCTCAACCTCGTCCCCAACAAACCCTCGTCCGACGACGGTACGATCATGTCCTGATGGCGTACCAAGGCCCTGCAACAACAACAGCAATCCCTGAATGAAGCCATTCCAGAGTCTTTTTGTGTGTTTGTTGGACATATACGGATAATGCGCACATATAGCTTCACCCTCATTGCGGGCGCGCTTGCTCGTCTCTGCTCATCGGTGGTTCCACCATAGGGCCGATGTCTTCCCCATGGTCGCGACGTCGGGCGCGCGGCCTCCCCTGCTCGTAGCGTCGTCCATTCCATTTTAAGGTCAAACCGTCACATGTCCAGTATATCAGAGATCTGGCCCGGCGCCTGTAGCTCGGTGATCTGGGGTTCTACAGACTAGCGCAGCTGCTCAACGTCTGGGGAGACTGGAGGCTGGGGAAAAAAAAGAAACTCGTTACGACGCCTTCGGACCCCCGCACCCCGCGCCGAACCCGTGACGGCTGCGGCTGCGGTGGATTCGTACGACTACGGCTATCCGATACATACCCATGCATCCCTTTTTGGGGGCTGCGTGTACGATAAATTCAGCCTCCAAAAATACTCTCGCGCGCATCTACTAGACAGCACGGTCTTTACACAAGACATCAAGCCCAGATTTGGTCAACATGCGGTCAGGGTTGCTTAGCCAGGTAAGAGCGATATTATTATTTCCAGTAGGTAACGACGAGTGTAGACATGATGCCGCATAGCGTAAACAAGTCCGTCCATAACAAGTCCGTCCATTTGTTATCCTTCCGCGACTACACTATGCTTCCAGCGGTCCGATGGTGGTGATATCCAGGCCGTCGGCCAGCTGCTTCTTGGACGGCATCTTGCCCAAAGCCATCAACTCGGCCGACTGAACCATGGCGGGATCCTTGCCCATGGAAGCCATCGCCACAACCGTGTCGCCCTTGGTGTAATAGGCGACGAAGCTTGACTCCTCGACGCTTCCCTGAATTACAACATCATCCCAACCGCCAATTGTGTTGCCGCAGTATCGCAGTTGGGAGCCCAGGGCCGACCAGAAAACGGGGATGAAACGCGCAGGCTGCACCGCCGCGTTGATGATGTTGCTGGCCACGGTACGGCCCGCATTCTGAGCGACGTTCCAGTGCTCGATGCGCGTGTACCGTCCGTCGCCCCCAGGTCCGTGGTACGGGTATGTGGCAATGTCGCCAATGGCGTAGACATCCTTCAGCCCAACAACCAAGAAGTTCTCGTCCGTCTTGATGGAACCGTCCTGCTCGAGGCGAATGACCTTGTTCTCCTTGAGGAACTCAGTGGCGGGCGCAACACCAACTCCCAGAATGACAAGGTCAGCCTCCAGTTTGGTGCCGTCCTTGAGGTGAACGGCCCCGACATTGGACGGGTCGGAACCAGAGGGCTCAGCCTTCTCTACACCGGCGTTCATGTGGAACTTGACCCCGTTCTTCTCAAGGCTCTTCTGGATACCAGCGCCGACCTTCTCTCCGAGAACTCTCTCGAGGGGTACCTTCTCCATGCCAATGACGGTTACATCGTTGTCTTTGGCGGTGGCATTGGCTACCTCCATACCGATGAAGGAGGATCCAACAATAACAATCTTCTTGCCCTTCTCGCCGATGGCCTTGACAATCTTTTGTGTGTCGTGGGCCGTCCTAAGGGTGAAGATGTTCCCGAGGACCTTGAAGCCCTGCAGGGGTAGGTTCCTTGGAGTTCCACCGGTTGCCAGGATAAGCTTGGTGTAGGGCAGCGTCTTGCCGCCGCTTGTGGATACCTTGCGATCGGAGAAGTCGACGTCGGTGACTTCGTCGTCGACCCAGTCAACAGAGCCGCTCTCGTACCAAGCCTTGTCTCTCCACTGCAGGGCGTTGACGTCTGTGAGAAGGGCCTTGGACAACTTGGTACGGTCGATGGGGAGGTATCCCTCGGAGGAGATGATTGTCAATGGACCTTGGTAACCGCCGTTCCGTAGGGCTTCGACAGCTCCCAGAGCGCCCGAGCCGCCGCCGACAATGACGACCTTCTCCTCCTGAGTCCCGCTGACGACGTTGCACTTGAAGTTGGGCTTCCGTCGGCCGCTCTTGATGGCGGACTCCTCGCCGGTGATGTAGACTGCGCCGTCGCGCTCAGTGACGTTGAAGACGGGAATAGAGTCGAGGGCGGGGGCATCCTCAACATCACCGGTTTTGGTGTTGAAGCAGGCTGTGAAGAAATCAGCAGGGGCATTGTGCGGGGGTGCAGCTTAGGAGTCAAAATACCTCCGTGCCATGGGCAAGTCAAACGACCAGAAGTCGTCAATACGCCCTTGACGAGAGGCGCGCCGAAATGAGTACACTTGGGACCAACGGCTTGGATCTTGCCGCCGGCGTTGACGAGCAGAACCTTGGCTCCTTCGATGCCCTCAACTTCGACCTCTTGCTTGTCACCCGGTCGGAGTGATAGCGAGGAGACCGCCTTCAGCTTGTAGTCGGCCATGTCTTTGACACTTTGGGAAAATGATCTGGTTTGAATTGGCTTGCGGAAGAGGTTGGATATGGTTGATTGACGATATAGAGGTCTCGGAATACGCATGAGCAGCGTGGGGAGTGAGATCTGGGAGGCGGACTGGGCGAGGGAGCGTGACGTGACGTGCTTGCGATCAGACGATGGTTTCGAGTTCTGGACCGGTAATTGGGTGGGCGAAGGGGGCAACCAGCGAGATTGTCGAGGTCGGATAGTGTAAGCAGTTGGGGTCTTCGAGGGTCGGCGGCACTTGGAGGAGCATCAGCGGCAGCGGCAGCAGCTCCCAGTGGCCGCAGATAAAGGAGGAGCAGCCGCGCGGGAACCCCTCATTGCGTCCGGATTGAGCATTGTGGCTATGACGACATGACAATTGCATGGGGAAGTTGCGACACAACGACGTCGTCCAGACAGGAGCTCCTTCCTCCCTACACCGCTTGGAAATTGCTGCATCATCATTGGCCGGCTGCTATCGAGCTCTGGCCCCATTCTCGAACTCTAAGCACCAAAGAGCCCCACTCTCCGTCATCCGAGCCCCGAAATGCCTAAAGAAGGGGGAGCACCTCACCCCGCAGCTGCCCTCCCGCCCCCTGGAAAGAAAGCTCCAGTGAGCTAGGTAGCGGGTAAGGTAGATCTGGGCATCGACCCGGCCTTCCGTCCGAATCCGAATCGGGGCCGGTCCGCCCGTGTTTCTCGGCCAGCTTGGTCGATCTCTTCACAGTGAAGAAACTAAGGTATTCGATGTTCACTTGCGTCTTGACGTGTATCATTGACTTCATTATCGAGCTCTCGTCGCATCTACCCCAACTAGTAAGGGCTGTACGTTGCCAGTGACGGCACCTGGCCTACCTCGCCCTGCAACCCTTCCAAGCCCCACGATGTTGTCGCAAACGGTGATGCCGGCACAAACGTCCCAACGAAGGGCCCCTCCAAGGCTGCCGCCTCGGCATCTCGGAAGAACTCCACTTCATCCTCGAGCTGGGCCCCAAACGGCAAGCCGGTATCCATGGCCGAAGCTGCGGCGGCTGCTGCTTCTGCCTGCTCCTTTTGTTTTCTTGTAAACTCCTCCACAGCCTCCAACGCACGTCGATGGAGCTCCTTGACGACCTCGTGCAGTCTATGAAAGGACTCGTAGTCCTCGTAACTCTTCATCGACAGCATCAGCTCGAAAAGCCGGAGTGCCTGGTTGGCCAGCTCGTTGTCTGTCATCAGATGTGGGTGATCCGGGAACACAAACATGTTGGCCAGGAGAATGATCAGGCCGGAGAAGTGCGCACACGAGTTGGACCAGATGCTGCAATCCGTCTTGGGCGACTCCACGAACAACTTCATGCAACTGCGGCTGAGCTCCGCGCACTTGGCCCATCCGAGCGGCAGAGGGGGGTTTTGATGTCCGCATGACGAGCTCGGGGACGAATCTAAATCTTTGATCGTCATTTGACTGTACGAGCTTATCCTTCGGACCCAGTCCGCGTCGTGCGAGTAGATCCCATGCGTCATCACCATCGCCGTGAAGTAGCTGTGGTAAAGGAGCGACATGTGCACTATCGGCAGGGAATCGAGACATTGGAGTGCCGAGTCTATCTGGAATTCAGGTGGGAGATTGCGTCGCCAGTTCTCCAGCATCTCCTCGAGCCTCGTCACCCTTAGTTGCCGGTCTTGCTGAGACACTTTTCGAGCGCGTGTGCTGTATAGTTGGTCATAGACCTTGCCGGCAATGTGACTCAACTCCACCCGAGCTCGAAAGTAGTTGAATTTGCTGCCGTTTCTCGCAAACACTATGCCTGCTCCATCTTCCGGGTCTCTTTCTGGTAGTGGCAAGTCGATATCTACGTCAAGCTGAAACGATGGCGTCTTGGACTTTAAGCTGATTTCCTGAAAATGTTGTCAGGCACCTGCCAATCGTGAGATTTATCAGGCCGCAACTCACCTTGTCCATGATATAAGTGATCCAGAAGAGCCTCGCTCTTTGTCGGGCAATTTCTGGCGAGAAGTACTGAAGCGATTCCTTGTCATGGAGGTGCATGCGGTGTGCCAGACGCACGGCAGTCCCAATCAGGACTGAAGCTGGCTTTGGGTCTTTCGTCCCCAGGAACAGCACCACCATTCCCAACAAGACCTGAAGGCCCAGGAGATCTTCTTCCCGCGTGACCAAATCGGACACGACAGATTGTACGTTGCGCATGTGATACATCACTTTCTGGTCGTCCACCAGAGCGTCCAAGTTACCTTGCTCCTTCAAAGTACAGCGATACCCTAGCGCCATTGCGATGTTGACTGCTGCCCATACTGCCGTGGACTGCCCTGAAGAAGGCACATACCAATTTGACAACATGCGCATGAACGTTGGCGGGTCAAAGAGCGGCATGACGCAGTTGTAGCGGTTGAAAAACTCGTCGATAATGGGCATGATCTCCTCGAGCGGCGGTAGTTTGGGTTTCTCGGGCTCCGTCACCCATTCACTTGGGCTCTCACTGCTGGACACATGGTCCACAAACTCAATGCTCTCTGCTGATTCCCCACGTCCAATGGTACTCTCGGTTGAGCTCGGTGCCGTTGAAGTCTGGGTAGAAGTTTGGTTGGGGTGTTGACGGTTGGCGTCGAGGGCTTGCTGCAATTGCTGTTCTATGCTCGCTAGACGTCTCTCTAACTCAGAGACTCTCGTTGGACTGAATGCTTGGTTAGAAAACTGTTGATGACAGCATGTATGAGCTCGCCTCACTTTTCAGATTCGTTCTGTTTTGGAGGCTGTGGTCGTTCTTTTGGGTGAGGTGCTCTCCGCCTCACAGTTGTCGTCCGGCATTCTGACTTATACAGCAGGCAGTTCGAACATGCGGGCTTGAGCATGTCGCATTTGATCTTCTTGATAAAACAGAGATCGCAGGCTGTGGTTTGTTAGAACGTGACTGAAAACTTGTCTTGGGAGCAGGTTAAACGAGGTGAGTGGATCTGACCTTTCCGCCGTTGAGAAGATGTTTCCATGATGATGCGGAATCTGGCACTTCTTGTCGGAACTCCTCAAAACAAAACAAGATCATCTATAGAATCGAACCCCTTGGATGACCATTTGCAGAGACGTACTTGTGATTTGACTGACTGCATGAGTTAAATGACATCTGAAGGAGCGAATCAGACGCGGGATGTGGGTGTAAGCAGAGGATTACAAATCCGACTGAGGATAGCCCCATTTGTCACCTTCCAAGCCACAGTTCACCCTATCATGAATCCTTCCAATCCAGCAGGATCGTTTTCCGATTGGATGGTTCGCAGACTCTTTGACCGAAACCGTGTGACTATTTCTGCTAATTGAGACAGCTTAGCCACATTAGCCCACTGACACGTCTAGGCTCACCGACTCACCGAGATACACCGCGGGGGCCAGGGCGTTTAATGCAGGTAACTTCTATTGATGTAAGGCCAGATCTAAATAAATTTCTAAGTAACCAGGCGGTTCTAAACACAAGATGACCTCTAAATGCATTGAAAAGCAATCAACCCTATGAATCACAAGACGCAACTTGCAGTCACGCCTGGGCTGCCGCAACGCCTCCTCCATAAGGCACCGTCTTTCCTGAAAAGTCAACACCGCCATGATGTTCAAGCTTATCCCCGTCAGCAATCATATCTTGGTACCAGGCTTGCATGTCCGATGCAAAGGTTCCGGTAGCCGCAAGATCGCTCGAGTCAAAGGGCTCCTGCCCCTTGCTGACCTGGCGGATATGCGCGCCCGCCGCCGTGAGTCCGAACCCGAAATCGTCCTCCATCATTTGAACTGGGCGAATTGCCCCGGTGATACGACCTTCAAGAATGTCCGAAGCAATCCGGAACTCTTGGGCTCCAGGCCGACCCAAGGCAACGCCGTCGACAATATCCAGGGCCTTCACCATGGCCCCCACGGTTCTCATACCGCCTACGATGTACGCCTTGGTCTTGCGGGAGTTGCGGTCTCCCAGGCCCGCGACGACCGTTTCGGCGAACTCCAAAAAAAACCCCTCCCGCTTGCGAGTAGACTCCTTTGTCCAAGACATGCCAAGCGCCTCGTACGTGCCCCCAGAAATCTCGAGGAAATCGAAACCGAGCTCTGATAAGAATGCGCAAAGCTCGCGGGCCTCCTCAGGGGTAACGCCGCCGTCTTGGAACTCGACGCTGTTGAGCTTTGCCGAGAGGATGAAATCAGGAGATGTCCGCGCGCGGATTGCTTTTCCGATGTCGGCAATTAGACGGGTTCGGTTCTCGAGCGTCTGGACGCCGTACTCGTCGGTTCGGTGGTTCGTTGTGCGGGATAGGAACTGAGCGATGAGATAGCCATGCGCCGCGTGCAGCTGGATACCGTCGAAGCCGGCCTTGTCAAGGTATTCGGCGGCATGCGCAAACCCTTCAATAACGCGGTTGATGTCTTCCTTGGACGCTTCACGGGGCTTGCCGGATTCCATGCCCATCTTGGGTTCTGAAGGTTGTTAGTTTAGTCGCGAGCTTTTGCGAGATGGAAAAAACCGCATACCGAGGATAACTGCCGACGCCGAAATCGGGTTGGGCTGGATCTTCTTCTGAACCTGTCTTCCAGCGTGGGTGACTTGGCCCAGCATGAGACTACCATCGGCCTTGCCGGCCGCAGCAACAGCTTTGAATCCCTCAAATCGTTCACCCTCCGGCTTGCACTCGGGTGTGATGATCATGTCGCCAATGCTGCTCATGTAGTCGAACTCGACATCAATGTTGCCAGTGACGATGATACCAAAGTTATTTGGACCTTCGCCCCAACTGCATTTAAACTTGTCAGTCTTGAAAAAAATGACTCTTGTGAACAATTCTGGGATAGAGGCGGAGGTTGGGAAAATGCGACTTACCGGCGATAGACTTCAACAAGTTCTGGTGTGGGAACACCCCTCTTGGATGGCTCGCTTCCACTCCACGTCGCCAAGTTCTCAGCCATTGCACTCTTCAAGAAACGATTCTTGGCTGTTTTGGTGGAAAAGGGAAAAGACAAGGGTTGAACCAGTGGCTCCGGGCTGGCGGCTTCACTTGCGTAACGAGAAGACATTTTGACTTGTTGGTTGAGGTTTCAGTGTCGGGTTGATGTTGTGAAACTGATTGAGACGCGAGCGTTGATGTGCGTTCGAAACTCAAAAGCATGCGCGAGAGTTCCGTTCTTATAGCTGAGTTTTCATTTGTAATGCTATACTGACGGCGGTGTTCTTGTCGCATCTGGTCGCCGCGGATGGTGAGAGGACTTGAAAAGACTCCGCCTCCGTGGAGCGCAGTGCCGGATTGCATGGCCGTTCGAGTCCGAGAAGGGAAATGCTGGCGCCGGGTGCCTCTCGGTGAGTGTCGGTGAGGCCCCGCGCAGCAACACGCATCGGACTTTGGCACCGCCACGGCGAGCTCCACGGCGTTCCACGGAGCAAACTGCAGGATTCCTGTGATTACTAATGACGGATACCAACCACCCCGCTTGATCCTTCGTCAGATTTGGTCTAGAGCTTGCGTGCACTGACTTAATCATCCATGCGACCATGTCATTAGGAGTCTGAATGTGGCTTTGGATGACTTCCAGTCTCACATTCCCAGGATGCAACATCATTCGCTCATTCGGTTTGAAAGAATGTCTATTCCGAAAAGACTGATCTATCGCACGACTGTGCATCCTGTCTACTGAACCCGGCTACAGCTCATCCTTGACCGGCTGGGATGGCTCGGCTTCCTTGTCGTTGACAACCCTCGGCGACTCTTCCGCGGCCTCGCTCGCACCCTCCTTGAGCTTGAGGACTTGCGCCTTGACGGTGAACTCGATGTCCCTCTTCTTCTGGGCGGTGTTGGGTCGGGTGTGGCTGATGGGCCATGACACGACAACAGCATCCTTCGGCGTAGCGCTGTAGTTGCTCAAATCGGCGAGCGTTGCTGCAGACCAAGTCAGCTTCATATGCGTCGAGATGATGAGGGCGCAAAGGCTGGGGGACGGCCAGCTTCTCCCGCTTACCTTGGCAATCGCTGCCGTCAGCGACGAAGAGGGGCAGGATGTGATACAGCGCGCCCGGCGCGAAGATGGCGACGCGCTTCTGGTCGAGGTCACGGTCAACATCTGTGGGCGACTTGGAGACAGTGACGCGGTCTTTGATCTTCTCCTCTTCGGTGGTGGGCTTGTCAAAAATAGCAAAGAGGCCCTTGCCATTGCTATCCTCAGTGCGCTCTTGCTCCTCGATCCACTCGCGGACGCGAAGAGGGAGGTCAGAATAGTCCATCATGAGCAGGTTGCGGTCGTACATGTGGCGATCGAGGCCCGCCCAGCCGCCGGGGTATTCGCGACCGGAGAAGAAGAGCTTCAGACCATCTCCCCACGGGAAAAGCCCGACGGGCGGCTTCTCGAAAAGGTCATGCAGAGTGTACTGTGTGGCGGCGAACGTCTTGGACGCCTCACATGTGTGGTCGTAGGAGTCTGTCGTCTTTGCTGTGAACGGGTCGCGCCAGGGGAAATTGTCAGCCATTGTCGTCTCAGGCTGCGGCATCTCCTTCCCGCCGAGCTGGAAGGCGGAAGCCGTGCCGGCCAAGAGGGTGGCCGCCAGGAGGAGAGATTGGAACTTCATGATGACGGCTGGGTCGCAAGATGGTATGAAGCAGCGGCAACAATAGAGGATGCCCACAGAACACGAATGCTTCAGCTCAGTCGCATGATGCTAGCAGTCGACGCGAAGACACGCTCTTCATATAGGGGTCGGGTTGAATGCCAGCAGCGCATTTTGGCAGCTCAAACGGCTTTGCTGTCCTTTGCGGACGCATCATGCTCCGGATTGCCATATCGAGTCGACCTTCTTGGGATACCGATGTCCAGAGTGGGATTGACTTCGGCCCAGAGGTTCAAATGTTCCGTCTCTGTCCCTCAGAAAGACAGACGCGACCCCAGACGACCCCACCTTCCCCTCAATCATCAGACGGCTCGACGGGACGGAAGCAAGACTCCGCTGTCTTCTCCAAGACTCCAATTTCCCCTTACCCACACTGCCTTCCCAGCTGGCAGACAGACGCGGCCGGCCCGGCAAATGTGGTGACGTTCTTCGGTTGAGATCCGACCCGGAGGCGGGCGGAAACCTTTCAGTTGGCTTTGAACTATCTGTAATGAAGCCCCATTGAGGCTCAAGATGACTGTGACTCTGCTTCTTGCAATGGGTGTTCAGTGACCAAAACTCTCTGTCATCTGATAAAGACCTCTTGGCATCCGATGAACGCATGAGCCAATCAATACCCACTCAATACGAATGAATATAAGATGAAATTAAGCTCAGAACTCTCTATCCTATCCTCTACCGGCTTACTCAACTTTGACAGCTTTACCTAGATATGGCGCATCTTCTATCAACATGCAAGTGCCGACATCTATTTTTCGTATCGTCCATCGCTTAAAGCTGTTTTGGCATGTTTACTCAGCCTTACCCAGATCTAGATCACGCCTGCGAGCTCTTCGGCTGGGACCGACTCATCTCATTGGTCCAGGATCAGAAGCTCCGCTCCAACACGATCCCTTCTGGAATCCATGACGTCGCTTCTCCGTCGAAAATGACGCTGCCGCCCGTCATGGGCTTTTCAATTGCCCAAACAAGGTCGCATCGCCTTGTCGCAGTACCAAAATCTTTGCCCAGCTCCGTCACAACGGTCTGGTCAGGCCATTGACCGTGTCTTTACGTGATGCTTACAATGTCGCTGCCCGTCCGTGGTCGTGGAGATATAAGATGGCTTCCATGTTTGACGTCCGCGATGAATTTCCCTGAAAATCAAATTCAATTCAATTGACCAATTCACTTCCTCATTGTAACATCACACCACTGAAAACTTCCTGCATCGTTCCCTAGCTATGGCGTCACAAGCAGCATATGCGGCTGAACAGGCCATCGGCCATCAGGGCGACGCCGTCACGGCCCAGGATGTGACCAACTACCCAGAAGGAAGCGACAGTAGCGACACAATGAAGGCACTCGTATGGCAGGGCAAGAATAAGGTTGAAATAGGTCAGTGGCCTCCATCTAATCCCACCAAAAGTTTATCAAAGCTTACAAGCCTAGTCGATGTGCCCAAGCCCAAGATCATTGAGGAAACGGACGTCATTCTCAAGGTCACTGGCAGCACTGTCTGTGGCAGCGATCTCCATCTTCTTCATGGCTCTGTGGTGCAAATGAACAAAGGCGACATTCTCGGCCACGAGTTCTGCGGTATCGTCGACCAAGTCGGATCGGCTGTGAAGAAGGCCAAGATTGGCCAGCGTTATGTCGCGTCGTTCCAGATTGCATGCGGAAACGTGAGTCGAAAATCAATTATTTGGTGTAACGGAGTGTGTGAGCTAACCAGTTCAGTGTTTCTATTGCAGCCAAAAGCTGTCGTCTCAATGCGAGAGAACGAACTCCAACACGATGGAGAAATCCATGTACGGCTCCCAGACGGCGGGCATGTTCGGCTACTCCCACTTTACGGGTGGCTTTGCCGGAGGCCAGGCCGAGTATGTACGCGTTCCGATCGGAGACGTGAATCTCCTCGAAATCCCCGATAATGTACCGGATGAGAAGGCCTTGTACTTGTCCGACGTGCTCGCCACCTCGTACAATGCTGTCAAAGACACCGCAGTCTATCCCAAGGACCAGGTTGCAATCTGGGGTGCAGGACCTATCGGCCAAATGGCTGGCGCATTCGCCCTTGGCGAAGGTGCGTCCAAAGTCATCTTCATCGACACGGAACCGCGCCTATCATACATCAAGTCCAAGTGGCCTTCGGCACATGCGGACAAGTTGGAGCTTGTCGACTTCAAGAAATTGTCGAGCGGCGTGACCAACAAGGAGACTGTTGTATCGAAGCTGAAGGAGCTTTGCGGCGGAAGAGGCCCGGATGTTGCGCTTGAGTGCGCAGCTGGAGAGTACCCCAAGGGCTGGCTCCACACCATCGAAATTGCCTTGGGCGCCGAGACCGACACGAGTGAGATTGTCAATGAGATGATTGAGGGTGTGCGCAACTTTGGTCGATGTGGTATCACAGGCGTCTACGTTGGGTACACCAACCATTTCAACATCGGTTCACTCATGGAGCGTGGTGTCCGCTTGATTGGCAACGGACAGGCACCTGTTCACTTGTATTGGGAGGACTTGCTCAAGAGGATCCAAAGTGACGACATTGATGTTTATCAGATGTTGTCGCATCGCATTCGTCTCGACGACCTCGGCAAGGTTTACTACAAGTTCGAGAACAAGGAAGACAGCATGCAGAAGATTTTCGTTGAGACAAAGTTCTCGTCTCCGAGGGCAGAGGGATCACCAGAGCTTACAACATATTGAGCACCTGTAAATAATCGATCATGATCAATAATTGAGACATTCGCAATTGAAATCCTGAAGCCCAAGTCGATGTGACGTCAGATGTTCTAAGCCTTCCTCTTACATAGTGGCCCGTCAGGTAGTTCTACGAAGGCCTCTGAGCCAACGCAAGTGGGGCAGTAGAAGACGTTGAACGGATCATACTTCTTCTTCGCTACCAGATGTTGGTTGTAGTTGGCGCCATAGAACGTTTCAATGTAATCCGGGTCATGCCGGTCGCCTTCGTTCATGTAACCTCCAGTAGTTGGCGCAAGCCTTTTTCCGGCCGCACCCTTGACGTATGTAATGTCGTCTTGCACAGCTTTGCGTTCAGAATTGCTGGCTGTTTTCGAAATGCCACGGCCGGTGATGAGAGCGTAAGAAGAATTCCGCCATGCTGGGTGTAAGCCCGAGGTTGAGTCTTTGGCATCCTCAAAAACCTGTCCACCGGAGACCAGAAGTACGACGTTGGACGCAAACTCCTCCGGCTTACCGCTGAGAACCTCCACAGCCTCACGGACGTGGGCGTAATCTTCGACGGCCGACCGATCTATCATGCGGGATGTCAGGATGGAAGTGTCGCCGGTGGGATCGTATAGTCCTGACTCTGCCTCATAGAAGGACCAGTAGTCATCATATGAGGCGAAGCTCTCATAGATGAACAGCCTGTCTGAGAATTTTCTCAGGGCCTCACGCACAGGTGCGAAACCAGTGTCCGCTTCCTCTCTTGACTTTCCAATGGTCCAGAAGCCATGAGAATAGCCGGAAGTGGCATTGCCGACGAAGATAGTTGGAAAGTTGCGGAACCAGAAGGCGTAGCCGGCAAATCCTGCGTCGTTGAGGTCAGGATATGACTGAAGAAGGACTGCCACGGCGTCGAGAAGATCAGAGTTGTTCGCGGTCTGCTGCAGGGGCGCAATGGCGAGCGTATGAGCGGTGACGGCATCGACGTTGGGATGTGCCTTGATCGTCATGCTGAGAACGATACCATAGCCTGGGCCACCGCCTCGGAGTGCTCTGAAGAGATCAGAGTTCTCACAATGATTGGCGACAACAACACGTCCGTCAGCAAGCATAACTTCCGCCTCCAAGATCTGGTCGGCTCCAAGTCCGTAATTCCGTGTCGCAGGTCCATGGCCGCCGCCCGAAGGCCACCCTCCAATGGCACCGGGAGATACAGCACCTCCGCCAACAGCAATCACATTGTTTGCCTTTGCAACTTTGTAGACGTCTCGCCATTGATAGGCGCCGTCGATATGAATAGCACTGCCCTTCCACCCTGATTTGGAGCAGCATCTGCCGGGTACGTAGGTGTCTTGGAAGTCGATCGTGTTACGGTAATGTCGTAACCAGATCTCAAGGCTGCCATAGCCGTCGGATCGTCCGAGTAAGTCGTGTCCCGTGCTGGCGACAACCAAGCGGATGTTGTGCTGACGCGCAAATCCGATGGCCGAGGCAATGTGATCCCGAGCCGTTGCATTTACTGCATATTTTGGCAATGGGCCGAGAGAACAATTTGTTGGAACTTGGTCCGCAGCATAATCTACTGGCGCGCAAGTGATGTTGTACGGATACGGCCGGCCAATGGGATTTGACGTCTGATAATCCTGATCCGACCACATTTCGACTACGTGCGTGCACGCTTCCAAGTCCTTGGCCGGACCATCGTAGCAAGATTGTGCGATGGGCTGGGTCTTGACGAGTTTGCCGCCGAGTGCAATGTCAAATTCTTTCCACGAAGACTCGGCCGGCCAGCATTCATCTCCAGGAACCTGCTGCAGCGTCAGCCTCTGGCAAGCACCAAGTAATTCGAGACCAATGACGCGACAGTTGAAAAGTTCAAGGTTGACCGACGCATTTGCATTCTCGCCCGACTACATCAGGAGTCGAGTGCTTCACTAAAACATTGTCGCCGATAGTGCACCCGACGAGGGCGGAGAGGGATAGCAAGATCGATAGCTGCATATTGGACAAGCCCTTCACATGAAAAGGACGACTTTGAACATGAGCGAAGGGGGCAGTAAAGATAAAAGAAGTGCTGGAGAAGCACAAATTATCCACCAACCCGCCAATAAAGACAGACATGCATACACCGTTTCTTCCAGCTTCCTTCCGTGGAAATGATGTCCGGTTCAGCGCTGACCTTGCATAACAGCTCAGCCATCCGATTGGGTCTGCGGGGAAGGCAATTTTCGTCTGACTTGGCATTGAGTGTTCCGCTGGGGTAGATGATCTTAGTCCCAACGTTTAACGGAAACTGCTTATGTAGGTACCCTGTGCTTACGGATCTCGCGAGACTTGGACTGAGACAGGGGGCATCGCTTATCGCTGATTCGTTCCCACTGGTACGCGGACATGGAGAGAGGCCAGTCCCGGATTGTCGGTTCTGTAGCCCTGCAGCGTTGGACGAGAACCCACGACTTTTACGCGAATTCTTTGTGCCAGTCCCGAAAATTTGTTCTGCTCACTCTCTTCATAGCGGCAAATCGCTATGGGCTCAGTAGACTTCGTCCTTCACGTATCAAGTTGTAATCGTGTGATTATCATTTGTATGCTCTCGAACGCTAACGTCACGTTTATTCTGTGATCATCTGTCTTGTGATCCAAATTCGCTGAGACGTGCTTTTTTGCCTCAGTCATGGCTTCGGAATGATCAAAAAGACTGTAAAAGATTTGCCTCTGGTTCTGGAAACCACGAAGGTCTAGAGATATTGTCTCCATCGAGAGTATTGTTTCTTGACGTAATAGTTGATGATATGAGTAAAGAGGGACAGACGCTGCTCAAGAGAATCTGCATGGCAGTAGATTATGTAGGTCAACTAACCTCCATCATCCGGTGAATATCTGCAATTATTCTATGACTTGGGTATATACATTGAACATTGAAGGACGACGTCTTGAAAAGTTTGTATACGGCCTTGTGCTTTAGTCTGGTTCCCAATTGAGAATGCATTACGCCCGCATTGCCGCAAGCCGTGTTTGCTTTTACTCGTGATGACCCTCACCAATGCAGTAAGGAATGGGGTAAGTGTCGCTGCTGCAGAGACGAATGATGCCCTTGACCCAAGCCAGGTCGTCATATGCCTGACTCTCATACGTGTCGACCGTAAAGGGGTCAACGGTGGGGCTATCAGTGCAGCCACTCAGCAGATTGCCTTGAACACGGCGGACGTACGGCTGGCTGACAACAACACCGTACTGTCCGTCGGGCACGCTGAAACTGAGAGAAGTCTTCTGCGTGGTAGTCCAGGTCATGTCCAAGTTCTTGTTCAGGGAAACACTGATGATCTTCTTGCCGCCGAACTTGATTTCGTGTTTGACTGTCAGGCGGTTGGCGAGCTTGTATCCCTGTGTGACTGAGACACCCACCGAGTTGCCTTTCGAAGCAACGACGGGGGAAATGGCGACGTCCCAATCGACAAACTGCTCGTCGGAGAGGACCTGGACCTCAGTGCTCTCCTCACAGCCACGACGAGAGATGCCGGAAACGCTGGTTTGGTTGTAGGAGTCGATTGGTGCAGGAGCGACGGTCGCCGCCTCGAGGGCGTCGAATTCGGCAGCCTTCATGATCTGAGAGGTTCCATCGGTACGGAGAATGACGACGTCGTCAGCTGCAAGAGAGCGAAGTTGAGGGGGTGCGGCGGAAACAGCAACAGTCATGCCAAGAATGGCAACAAGTGCGTGCATAAGCATGGTGACGGGATGAGAGAAAGTAGTGTAAACCTGCGACAGGCTGCCTGCTCGTCGATTCGCAAAAAGAGTGACGGTAGTCAGGGAGAATGGAAGCGTAGAAAAGAATGGACGCCGCTCGGGCAATTGGGGAAAGCTGCGACAAACTGAGGTTGGTTCCACAGGGACAACATGATACATTTACACGCCTTCCCGCGGGAATCTCGTGGTGTTATAAACGGATCGCCCATGATCGCTTTTTACGCCCTACCTTCCTTCCAAGTTCCAACTCACCAATCTCTTTGTCAAGCGGAACGTGATCCGGTCCGCAGTGGGCCACCACGCAGCCTCCTCCACTTGTGAGGCTTAAGGCCCTCGGAGAAGCTTCTTGGTTCTACCAATTGAGGCTCGCGGGTAGCGTGCCGGATCTCCGCTGTAGCCCAAAGAGGACCGAAATTGTCCAGATTCGGAGTATGGCCGATGGATATCCACGCTCCGTAATCTCCCACGGCATGCATGGGTGTTAATTTGGGGCAGAGCCTGGAGATATCTTCTTGGCTTCGAACCACCTCTAGTTTCCCTATATCGTGACTCTCAGAGGCATTCTCGACTTTGTTGTCTACATAGGTTTCGAACCAAGCTTGGGAAGGGCGTTACAAGTCAGTCAACTCGGAATAAACTTAAGCATAAGTGTATTTTGGCGCCAAGCTTCCGCTGATCAGTATCTGTGTTCTCCATACCCCGGCTCTACGACTCAGTCGCAGCAAGGAACCCGATTGGCCAAGAGTCAACACCGAGTCATGACGTCCCATTCGGCTTTTCGGACATCGCCGGGCGGCTTTGGGAACTCGGGCAAAAATGCAATTGTGAACGGTAAAGGGAATCTCGGTCAACTTGCAGGTTTTTGTCATTCAGGAGCATGCCAGGGTGAACAACGTGCGAGACGTTGGGTTTACTTTCGGAGGTTGCCCACGATTGTGGAGAAATTCGAGAGACGCGTACCATCACCCTGCGCCAGCTGTTCTATGAAACTTTCTCAATGCATTCCGTGGCCGAGGATGTCGGTTTGGCTCAGCTAATTACCTTACCACAACTCCACAGAATATATGTAAACACCTGTACAAACAGTACAGCGGGAAGCCCTGTGTTTGTGAAGCAAGCTTCCATACTGAATACAGGTTTTAATCTAGAGAACTCACCTCTGAAAGTTCACAAATACTAGGAAAGATTAGTCTAAAGCTTCAGATTGAGCGTGTTCGATCTGCTGATTATAGCCCGGTGAAAACGCCGTCGACCATCCAGGCCCTCGTTCCCCAAAACTGCGCAAAAGGTGTCGAGTGGCACGCCACCGAACGACGAAACCTTTGCCAATGCATTTGAGGTGACTTAAAGTATTTATACCTTGATCTTGATGAAGGATTAACCAAGATTTCCGACCAAGCAGGTTTCCGCCTTGAAGAGACCGTATTGACTTTCACCGCCGGGCGCGGTATCACCTTGTTGACAAAAGTTAACCACCATGCGGTAAATGGCTGAACTGTCATGTCAAGTAAAAACTTACGGACTAAGTAGTGAACACGTGGGCACAGACGCCAAAACTTGAAACTGATTTACCAGGGTCAGGGCATCCTGCGCATGGCCTCTATCTGACCCCCAGGTCAGAATCACGACACATTCATCAAGCGATTCATATGACTGAGACCAAAAACCAAAAGCGCCTGGAAACTATGTTTCCAAATCGATTTCCGAATCGAAATGCTCAGAGACGGCGAGATACCGTCAACAAAACGCATGCAAGAGAGTACGACACCTGATATGAAAGCTATCCCAACGATTCCTCTGACTTTGACTCCGATAGTGTCGAGGAAGCCAAAGGCAATACTACTGATGATATCGGAGACTGTCCGGTGTGCGTACTTCAAATAGTGCAGCGCAGCACCTCGAGCCCCTTTTCCAGCAACTGGGTAGACTTCGTCATAAGATTTGTACTTGAGAACGTCCACGAACCGGAATCACCATTACATCAGAAAAATCACGAGGACCAAAGAAAACTTTGCAACTTGGTGATGAATTTTTGCAGAGGCGTTGGGCGTCGCAAATGGGACGTGAGGAATTTGGTGCTGTGCGAAGGATGCAGTATTGCCCATATGAATGGCTATTTCGCACGGGATTCGGAACAAACGCCTTAGATAGGTCCGTACGATGTTTTTCATCCAAACGTTGCTCGTCATGAAAACAAATCCCAATATATGATGCTTTACACGAACTTTGTCACATGGGGCCGTTCTCATCAGATTTCTGGCGCCACGCAAACTCGGGCATTTTAAAATGGTGCGGGATCACCAAAGGATCTCGACGTGGACCTGGCTCGAACAGACTCTCCCCGAAAAACAAGATTCCAAGTCTTGCGCCACAAACACTCTGCCACCAAGCCCTAAAAGTAGCAATGTGAGATAGGCTGAGGAGTCAGTGATACTGAGAGGTCAATACACCATTGGTAGAAAAATTCCTATTCAAGTGAAAGCACATGCCCATACGTTCAGGGCGGATATAAATTGACTGATTCCATACCCGTGTACTATTTCTGTAGACTACCTTAATTGATCGTGTGACTAGCCAATCGACACGGACTAGAAGCAGCGCATGCAATTTACTGATAGATTAGAGGGTGCGATGTCTTATCCAGCGCACCAGCTCTCCCAGTTATCGCGCATTTCGTACGCAGGAATTTGACTCCTCGTAGATTGACCACTAACGCGCTCTGCCCTAAAATCATACTTCCAGCACGCGAACTCGATAGTACCCTCGATCACCCCGCCCCCAACGAATGTCAAAGACGCCTCATGAGAACAGTCGTAGGTCCTGCCGTCTGGTCCTTCTCCGCACCAGTGAAACAGCAATGGCTCCAGGTCAGACACCATCGGTCGCGTATGTGTTTGCATAACACCTCTGACGACCTTGAAATCAAAAGACACCCATAGCCGATCGCCCTCAATGGTGCATACAAGGTAACGGTAGTCTTCGTTCAGATAGCTGCGGCCAAAGCCCATGTACACAACCTCGTAGCGACCATTGATCAGACCGAGGGGCAGAAGACTAACCGGAGGGGGTATGTCGTCAAATTCGCCTTTGACCACAGGTTCGCGCTTGATTCTGCCACCAAAGCTAGGGTTACCACGGCGAGCGGTCTGCCTTGGGTAAGATGAACCAGTAGAAGAGGAGGCAGCGCCAGATGGAATGTAGTCGAATGAGCTGATGTTGTCCTCGTTCTCGAATTCACGTTCATTCTTGATGCGACCTCCGAAGTTGGGGTTTCCTCGACGTGCGTACTGCTTCCGAGGGACTGGAGATGACGTTGACGCCGCAAGTAGAGTGTTTGTTTGTCGACTTTGGCCAAGTGACGTAGGAGGAGAATCACGCATGCTTGTTCGTGATGCACTGGCCTTCGGTCCGTTGGCCTTCGGCGTGGCAGACTTGCTCGTCTTTGTTGCACCCTGTTTCGTAGACGTGGTTCTTGGAGTGGCCTTCGGTTTCTTCGCAGCGTGCATATCCGCTCCGTGGCTCACAGTAACCGAAACACTGACAGATGTTCCCCCTGTGGCAACGACTTGCACATCAGTTGCCTTTCTCTTAGTGCCAGCTGCGGCTCTTGTTCCAGATGGTTTGGGTGTTGCAACCATAGTAGCTTTATTCGCCTTGGTCCACTCCTTCTTCATGTCCTTTTCCAGAGCAGTCAGCGAGGCTGGAACTGTCATTTTCCCAGCAGCAACAGCTTCCATGAGACGCATTTTGGCCGTACCCTTCACCTTGGAGGGGTTAAGGCCATAGTGAAGAAGTTGGGCTTCGTACCAGTGGCCCGGTTGATCTTTGCCACTCCCGATTGCTTTGAAGTGCGCCTTGAGTTCTGGTAGCGTGCTCCGCCGGTGAACATGACCGCTCGCAGAAACGGAAAAAGAGTCGCCTGCGAAAGAGAACCCGTCTCTGCTGACGGGGGCTGCGAACGCCATGGCTCAGGGCAAATGCTGCGGAGGTGAAGGAGGTTGGTTTGGAGCGGTTTTCAGTTGCTTCAAGTTGTTGATGTCAGGACTAAGATCAGACGCAATCAGAGAAATGGGGAACTTGAGGGTTGCGGGGTAACGAGATAACGCCCGAGACACAAGGTATCTACATGGATGCACCCTGAAGGGAATTGGGGTAATTTTCAACTTTCGGTAAGTCTCGGTAAGCCTCGGCCAGCCTCGGTCAGGGCGAACGAAAACATTGAGTACTGATCTACTCAAGTTACTTAAACAAAGCAGTTTTTTGAGTACTTTCAGCTTGGAACAGTAGTATTATTGGTATTTAATTTCTGATCGCCACCCGGAGAAAAGGGGCCTCGAGGTTGACGGTGACGATGCACAATCCCGTGTTCGGTGGTGAAGTGCTTCAGACTGGCAACAAGTGCATTGTTTTATGTAGCAGTAAAACCAAGTGAGTAGTTATTCTGATGACAAAGTTGAAAAATATGGAAGAAATTTGTGTTTCCCAGCGTCTTGGTCTTAAGGAGGCTGATCTTTTACCCCATCTATTCCCAGGTACACCATGCTGGCAACTCATCTATTGCACATACCTACACTGGCAGACATGACCATTGTATGTGGGTTATGTCTACAGGGCTTTATGCTGCATTAAATTAAAGGGGAAGTGTGTGATCAGATGCTTTCTATCATATCCTACTCATTCCCTCCTTTGTTTGTGCGCACTTGCTTGCTTGCACCTGAGCGTATGAAGGTAAAACTTTTCAGCATTGAGCTTACCTTTATGACCAAGTAAAATGTGAGCAATGCGGGAAATCTTTCACTACACTTAGGACTAGCGAACCTCCAGAGGCTTGGCTTTGCAGATTGGTGGTAGATCATAGACTCTGTCTGGGCACTCCGGTCAACCTGGCGACCCTCCGCATGGAATGCTGCTGGCCAACCGCGCAGCAGGTCAATAATTGGGAAAGAAGTTGAGATCTTTTCTTTCCCAGAGAAAATATTCATTCAAAAACCACTTCAAGCGAAGAGGAAACGCTCTCTAAAATATACCTGCCCAAGCCACGCGAGCTCAAGTAAACCTCTCAGCCTGGCGCTCTCGCCATCGAGAGAATCATCATTTGCGACTCAGGTCTCGATGAAGACGTCAAGATCGTGAGTTTTGAGCATATGCCTGGCTTCCAGGCTATACTTTCTCGTTCAAGCGGATCATTGTCACCACAAATTGCGCTCGATCTCACTATTGCTCTGCCGTGTTCCCCCACCACATAGCCAGACTTTCAGTTAATTTTGACCACGAGCCCGGCCTGAACACTATGAACGATAAGCTCTAAAACACCTGGAAACATTCAAGGAAGCTTCCAAGTTACATCGACGCATCGACGCATCGCCGTACCGACGCCCAAAAGCGCGTCTGATTTCTTACAGGGAAATTTCGGCCGATCCTAACACCCTAACCAAGGTAACGCACTTCACCGGTTTCAATCGCATCTACTGTCCCCATCTCTGATTTACAAAAGAAGTCACAAGGAATTGAAGCGAAAACTCCTCCCCTTGGATGCTGCTACGCATTGAGGCGCTCATTCCCGACAGCTTGTCTCAGTTCCCGTCGAATCATTTCAACCCCAGAATACTTTCAACGCGTAACAATTCGTACAAAGTCAAACTTTCACCACGAATTTAAGTATCGTCATCACTGCACTTCAAGTTAGTACTTTCTACGTCAAATATTTCTACCGATGCTGACGGTAAAATCCAAGCTAATGCCTCTCTCGCTTCAGCCCACACACCGACTCTGGCCTAGCATGATAAGTCCGTAAGTCTCCATTTGCGCTGTCCCCGACAAGACTGCCTGCGCTGCTTGACGTTTCGCACATTCAATCGGGCGAGCTGTGGAGGAGCACATCGATCACAATGCCTTCCACTAATTTCCCTCCTCATTTCACCTCGGAGGACATCGAGGGAGCGACAAAATCTCCTCAGGTGGGCAAGTCTGCCCTTCCTCTTACTACATCACCTCACTAACCTCTGCAATAGCTGTATCCATGATCCTTGAATTCCATAAACAAATTTGGGATCACCTGCACAGTCACGCCCTCCAGAACTTGACCGGAAGTCCCCTCATCTCGCTATATGGTCTTATGACGACGTGGGAGCGCAAGACAAAGTACGAAGAACTGAGAAACTCGCTGCGAGCCATCTGGGACAAAATCCGAAAGAACCAGCAAAAATTGTTAAACGACTTTCTCTCGAAGTTGTTGGAAGCGTATGGTCCTGCTGTTATTGAAGATGCCAAAGCCCAGATCGCAGCAATTGACTACGAGACAGAGATGGGGCGCACCGAAGAGATTGTTGTCGCAGTCCGCCTGAAGGTCATGATCTCGGCCCCCTCGAGCATATCTTGCGCGCACCTGGATTGCTAAAAGCTCACAAACAACGACACAGGCAGTTCATGAGATCGGGAGAAAATGCCACTCGCTTTGTTTTGCAACACTACCACATCACCGATGATGGCCTTGCTGGAGAGTTCCCCCATCTATACCACCCCGCAAGACCTGCCAATATGTTCCTGGTGCGGTGATAATCTGCTGAGCATGATCACCTTTTTGGAAGCAGAGATGTGTGAAGCCACTGAGTATGCCGCTTGATCTGAATGCTTGAGTTGGTTGATGATTCACACCTCATACACCGTGCGTCATGCAATATCGAGTTCGGCCATTGCCCCAAGCCCGTCACAACATACCGTACTAGGGAAGGTGGTCGGTTGCTACATCGCTGACTGGCAACAACGGACCGATCATACATTACCCCTTGGGAATGTCAGAAGTCTAAGTGAACCTGAACCTCGTATCAGCAAATGTGGACGAGAATAGGACCCTGCTCCTTTCTCTTAAGTTCTCTCATCGTCGAGTTCAAAAGAAACCTATCCAGTTCAACATTATTCTTCTGTCCAACTCTCTGCTCTTGAGCCCACGAAGGGTTGCCAAGCCTATTGGAGGATTATCGTAACAACCAAATGTCGGATAATTACATCTTCCCAATTTTGTTGCGCCAGATCCTGTCCATACACGCATAGTCATATCTGCAGAAGGAATCGGCAAGCACAACCTGGCGCTCAAAACGCCCAAACACCAACTCACAGACAATTGGTTGGTTGGATCAATAAGGTATGGAAGAAACACCCCATTGAAGGAGAACGACTCAGGTTACGGCTGGCGCCGTACCATCGCTGTGGACCACAACTGGTTGACGAATTGCCATTACTGCATCTATAAAACATTGAACGAACAGCGCGATCACATACTGATAGATTCCAACGAAATGCCGAAGTGGCCCCAATCAAGCGGTAGCAATGCCAATGATTTAGGAGAACATGATAGCTACTTTCAGCGAACCCGAGACGAAAGCTTACGCGGGAAGCAGAGGCCAACTTTGCACGGAACACGCCAAGTGATAGTTTATGAGTGGTGAGATAACAAAACAAATACTGTGTAACAGATGCTACGCCATGGTCTATGACAGAATTTAAACCGAATAATCTCAATCTCAATGCGCCATTTACTTAGTACAGAAGCAAGCACAAGCACCTTCGCCGACGTTGACGCTCTGCAACTTGAATGCAGCACCGCACTATCGGGGAGAATGCTGGTTAGCCAGGTTTCTTTTCCTTACTCCAATAGATCGTAAGCAGGGGTCGCGCGTTCGAAGGAACGTACCTCGCGTGGACAGGCAGTTGTGCAGACGCCCCTAATGCTCGTGCATCCGCTAAAGTCGCTCTGCCGGATGTTAGATAGACACATGGAATGCGGACGGGTGGTGCTACTCACACTGCTATCGACTGCAGCTCTGCAGAAAGACTTCTGGGCGGCTGCCTGGGAAGCCAGGGCAAAAGGAAGAACGATCGAAAAGAGGGTGGACGGCTGCATTTTTGGGATAGTGTATCAGGTGAACTGGTGAATGATCAAGATAAGAAGATCGTGTCAATAGTGCTAAAGACAAGAGTCCATGTCGATCAAGTCGAGGCATAGGAGACAGGAGACATTTTATAACTGCTACTAAGGCATCTCAAACGACCGAAATGGTGACTGACTCGTTGATGAGTTCCAGTTCGTCTCATAGCCACTAAATAGACTTTCGAAGAAGGTGTGCAAGGATTCCAATAGATTCAATAGAAGAGGTCAGTCGTCTCCGACCTAACTCGAGTCAGTTGCCAAGTAGTAATATGCGTATTTGAGTTTAAGCGAGACCCTGATGCGAGCTCCCAACGAATCTACTTGAGACTTGTGCATTACTGAACACGCGTAGGCGCGTGTAAGGTGAAAGGTGTCCACACCCATGCCAAAAGTGAAACCTACAGGAAGCTGCATAGATCTGCACATGGCTCCATATTTTGTGGATGTGTTACTTGGAGACATTAAGCCAAAATGGTCAACTGCCGCCCACGAAGATCACATGAAGTCAAGTTCACCGGCCTTAGCATGTGCAAGATTAATGATGGTAGAGATTCGCCTATGATGTTGCGCTGTGATAGAAATCATATCAGGTGCTGCTGAAAACCCGCTTTCCCTCGACCGATAACGAAACGCCCTCAGGCCGCATACAAACGCAAGAAATAGGAAAGAAGAAGAAAAGTCATTGATCCAACACGGGCGCCCCACCTTTCACTCCTCTATAATCATGTCCGAGACTTTTCGATGCACCTTAAAGGCTTGAGTTGGCAGCCATCTTTTCACCGATCTTGTGACGCTTAGGTCTTGTCGCGACTGGAGAAGACTCCTCGCCCCCGTCGTCATTGGCTTTTCGCTTCTTGCCGGATCCTTTCCCATCATATTGTGGTCCCAGCTTGTCTTGAGCTTCGACGCTTCCCTTCGTCTCCGTCTCCTCCGCAGCTTTCTTGATCTTGTCCTCACGAAGTTTCCGAGCCTTTTCTTGGCGATTCGTCTTGATCTTGGCTCTCGTCAACTGAACCGCTCTTGCGTGTGCCTCAATCCAGCCGCCCGGGTCCAGATGCGTCTTGTGCACTTGCCATTTGTATGTAGAGACAATGCTGTTCTTCGGTATAGAGTGCTCAACGAGCACCTCGTTATCCAAGTAGTCCTTGTCGTCACGCGGGCTCAAAATTCTGGCCAGCTCGCGGGGGTTCCACATTCGATTCACATCGTGATCCCAACCAGGTCCTTGGGTGTTGAACTTGATAATCCGGACATCATCAAAGCCCTTCGCAACGTAAATTGCAGCAATTCGGACAGCCTTTCCGAGGTCATCAGTCGCTGAAAGAAAGGGACTTGCCTCGCGACTTTGCCACCTCAAGTGTCGCCGAAGATGATGATGGAAGAAAACTGCGTCGCTCTCACGGCCTAGCCTCGACTTTATCCCATCGTCAGGCTGGCCACTATGTATGGCTCGGTACAGTTCGCGCGGACGGTCAAGACCGCCGAGAGTTGTGATTTTGATCCTGGAGTTGAGCAGAGCGATACCGTTGAGGCAGCCGACATTGCGACTGTTTTCTATGGCAGTCAGAGCTCGAGGGAAGTGGTTGTTGATCTCGTCGACATAGTCCGGAAGAATACGAAGGGCCCATGGGGTCCGCCTGCCATCTCGCGCTGAACGGTTGATTGTCAGCCAGCCTCTAACATCTTGATCGGCGAAGTCCTCGATTCGAGTGACTTCAGTTGCATATCGCGCTACAATGAGGTCTCGAGTCGGGATAAAATCCATCGTGAATTGTGTCGGAAGGTAAGAGCGAGTCGACTTGAAGATAAGACTCGGATTCCAAAAGAAGTGTCTGAAGACGTTGTGTGTTTGGGGTTGCGAGGCAAGAGCGACGTCGAATAGACAAGTCCGACGTTTAGTTCGAAATATGGCTTTGTTTCGTTTCTGCGACTTGAGACTAAGTCAGGTTGATTTGTGTGTGTTTCAAAGCAATGTGGAAACTGAAGAAATGTCAGAGACCTTTGAAGTATTGACGAGATCGATTGAGACGGAAATTTGTAGGTTGATGGAGGACAAAAAGAATAAGGCGAAAGATGGCTAGAAGCCTGAAATTTATAGCCTCTCAAGGAGGTCTTGTTTAAGGAAAGAGGTGAGGCAAGGACTTGCTGTAATTGAAGTGCAACCGATAATAGGAAGGTCCTCCTAATCGGCCGGAACAACAAAAGAAGGAACCAGGGAGTTTCGTAGATGAAAAGTCTTACTTCATTTGAAAAGGCAAATCTGTATGAACTGTGCTCAAAAGTCAACATTGAAAACGGCGAACAACTGCTATCGTCTTTGCAGCTTCTCGTAGCTACCTCGGGGATCACTTTTAGATCGGGAACATGTCTGTAAATACGCGTCGGAATGTATGATAGCTGAGGAATCCGGATAAACACGAGAGGCAATATCAAGAGTTGGGATTCAAAGGGGTCTTCAGTCATGATCTAAAACAAACAGTTTCGTGGTAAAGTAGACTTCAATTGGTTGTGGCAGCGTGAAGAGGCTATGATGTTATTGGTGTAGTATTATGCCTTTCCTTAGTTCAATTTTGCTCCAATGACAAAGTCACAACAAGTTACATGCTATCCGTCAATCTTACAGTGTCAAAAAAACACAGTTCTAGACTAAAATAAACTCAAGTTCATTAAATATGCAGGCACTGGGAGCTAGTGTAGCAGAAGACCTTGCACAGGTAGATCTCAGTGGGTTCGTGTTGGTGTGCCTACTACAAGCCCGGAAGGCATGTGATACCCAATTTGCTACAAGAATGGTATGAGCAAACGTAGTTTAGCTCGAAGCACGGGGGATGAGAAATTTACCTGCACCAACCCAACCACCTTTTATGCTCAGATTCGAGGAGCGATCTATCAGATGGTAAGTTCTTTTTCCACGACGCAAGGGCACTGTCGGGCTGTTCAAAGGCGCGAGCTGCCGCCCCGGTCGATGCAAGAGAGCCGAGACTATCGAGCACGATTTGTCCCAATTCTGTGAAGCCAAAGAACAAGCTTGGTGTCTCAGCTTGGATCATCTTCTCCAGTTGACCAAGCCAGACGACAACTAGTAGATCACTCGCTCGGGGAGGAGATTGAACGCGGCCGAGACGTTTTCCTAGATCAGTCTCGACAGCCCCTCGCACCGTCTTCTCGTCCATTGATAGCTTCCATCCACCGGTAATGCATCGCATCCAGGGAAGATGTTGCAACAGCGGTGCCAGTCGCAACTCGCGCCGCTAGCCTGGGGTGTTCTTCGGGGGATCAAGCCCCTCCGCCAAAGTCCGAAGCTCTCTTCTCACCCCGGAGCCCCTTTTCAAACCTGCCAAACGCTTCTCATATAGTTCGGTTGGATGTTTACGTCCAGATGCAAGAGCCAGTCTTCTGGACGTCATCCGAGCTGACACAATCTCCGACGGCTTGAGTCCTTGAGCTATCCAGAATCTACTGACGCATTGAGCGAACTCGGTTGGCGGCTCGGGGGCAAACATAGGCTCCTTCTGCAGCTCGATCAAAAGGTCCAGGTCGTGCCAGCGCGGCATAGTCTGGGGATTGAAAACGCGAAGAGCATTGTACAAGTGCGCCGCGGCCATCAGCGATCCGCTTTTGTTCACCAGACTGAGCTCCGAACTGTTCAGTTTCAAAACCAGAGAACCCAGGACAGACCCTAGAAACAACGGAGCGCGGACAGAGAGTTTCTTCTGATCTGAGTTGATAGGCGGAAAGAGAGCGTCAAGATGAGCTTTCATCAAAGAATCCTGAATGCCAGAACTCTTGTCGATCTCTATCAGATGTTGTATCGAATGATGGCTCATGAATTGCTTCAGATCAGACTCGACAAAAGAGTGCAGGCCACTGATGGTGTAGAGGTCGAAGAATGTACGACACATAGCCGCGGTACTCATCCTGATGCGGGTGCGTTGTATTGTCTCTCTGAGACGAGTGGCGAGGAGATCCACTCGAGCAAAGGATGGTCGAGTTGCCATAGACTCAATGTGGAGTTGAGCGAGACGGCGTGTGTCGGGAAGAAAATGCTCGGCGTTCGTCGAGCACTTGGACAACACTGGCCTGAGCGCATCTTCTGTTGGCTGCCCGCCTTTGAGAGAACATCCGCAATGGAATCCAACTTGCCAGGCATATCTGACATGAGCCAATCATCAATTTCAGGCGTCGGTATCCATCCAGACCTTATAATCCGTTGCATGTTGTCGTACGCAAACGCTTTGGCCTCGGTCTCGGTCGGCATCACCAGCCAATGCTTTGCCTCTCCTAGAGCGCAAAATGTGTACTCCAAACATAATGTCGAGGAAACCAAAGCGATAAACCCGCGAGAAGTCGAGTTCGAGATCTGTCAAGTGTTGGAAGGAGGCCTGAGTTACCAGACTGGCGGTCACAAGATCGGTCTTCCGTTCAGCATAACGTGTCCAACTACGCTTGAGGAAGTTGCGGACGTCGCGAGCATCGTTGAAGAGACAGATGAGCTCCATGATATGATCGTCCTCGATGGTGGTTAACTTCTGGAGAGGTCGTGCAGGTGGTTCCATGTTCGGACGCTCGATAGTCGGCTTGGGGTTCGCGTCAACACGCGCTTGGCTCGGTTCAGTGTCGTCAGGGGCAGCCGCCCCAATGTCCATACTGTCACCAAGGACCGCAAAGAAGTTGTCGCTTTGAGCTTTGTCGCGAGTCGTCGTTCCTTTTGACGTGTTACTCGGTGCAGAGGCGGGAAAGCAGTCAAGAATCTGCTGCAACTTGTCGTTGAAGAAGGCATGAGCAGAGTTTGCTGCGGGAGAACCGTAATGCTGGAACCATTTCGCACAGCGACGACGAAGTGCAAGAGCCTCTCGAAGTGCTGATTTCCTACTCTCCGGCATGATCTTTCCAGCTGCTGCGCATATCTGCGCCATGTCTACCAGCTCCAGTACTTTGTGTGACTGTGAAACGTTCTTGACACCACTCAGCTCTCCCGCGGTGGTAATCACCCAACCGAGTGCCTGATCGGTCTTGATCTTGTACCGACGATAGGAAGATGAAAGCTCAGCGTGGGCCATTGTACGTGTGCAGCCTTGATGGCCAGGATCTTGGCTGCACGAAAGATGTTTCTTGGCAGAATTGGGGGTGATAGAGCTGCTCGAAACAGATTGTCTTCTAGAAAGATAGAAAAGTCTTTGAGCAGCGAGGAGCGGTGAAATAAAAGAACAGATTTTGTCGTCGGACGTTCTGAGCTTGATCCGTTTGTCGACGGGATACTGCAGGTTACAATTGGGACCGCTGCCCTTGGCGTTTCCTGCATCTACCCGCCAGTGGCACTGAAGGTTGTCGCCTGGCAATCTCTGTGTCGTATCTAAGAGACTCAATATTGCATCTGTTGGAAACTTGGGTGCTCAATCTTTGACGTGAGGCACACCATTGAGAATGTATCGAGTTGTCTCGCTAGTTTTGAAGGATGGATGCAATGCGAACGCCCATATACATGTTCGATAACCAGCTTGGCTTCAGCTTTCTCAGATTGTCTCAATGGGCTCCATTTCAAAGTGATCCAAAATTCAAACTTAAAACATTCATCCGCTCAACTGGGTTATTTCTAAATCACGCCGGTCTCAGGGGTTTCCGCCCCGAGTATGAATGATACAAGATGTAGGGGTGAACGTCATCTTTCAGCATTTCTCTGCGACATTCAACGAGGAAAGCTTCGACTTCAAGAGGAGTCCAACCCAAACCCCTCGTAAAAAGCCCGATAGTATTGCCGTGTAGCCCATCATAGATGACAGCGCGGGCATATGAACCAACAGACTTCAAGTGAGAGTCCTTTGGCCGTGTGCCCACGGGAAGTTTTTTGACATCATGGATAAGATTCTGAAAGCCTGCAGCTTCAATTCGATTCTTATGACTGCTGCCTGCTCGCAGATCCACACCAAAATGGGAAAGACCATCTTTGATAAGGTCCATCATCTTCGCAGGAGCATACTGTTGCCCAGAGGGCATAGTGCTATCGTCGCATTTGCACTCGGGTACGATGCCTTGCAGTTCAAGCTAACCACCTGGTTTGAGAGCTCTAGTTTGGTTAGTTGCCAGTTCAGAGATATTCGGCAGACAAGGATTTCGAATCGTTGTACGCACCTGTACGCCTGAGCAGTAGCTTTGGCCAATCCTTGACCGATGGCACCATATGACGCAAATGAATGTAGTCCAAAGAATCGTCCTTGTGCAGCCATTGTGCCTCAATGTCGTCAACAATGAAGTGTACGTTTGGTGGTAAGAATGGCGGCTGAATGGGACTCAAGTCAATGCCCTCAACCTCTGCTTCAGGGTATGTTTCACCCACTTCCAAATGTCAGTAGCCAGAGGCGCAAGAACATCGCGTGATTCATACTCTCAATAGCCCACATTCCCGTACCTGTTCCAATGTCAAGGGCCTTCCTGGGATCGGAAAGGGGCGCGTTGTGTAGCTTATTGCCGCAGAGGGCAACGATCATGTGATGCTTCATGTTTTCTCGTTGTTGCTCAGATTCGTCATTCGGGAAATGGTATTGGCCCTGTTTGTACTTGTGGTAGTGAGGATCGTTCTCGAATTTGAAGTCACGGACGAAAGGGAAGTTGGTGTGCTGAGCTCGAGATCGTCATTGATCTCGGGCTTTTTGCCAGAGGTCGCATCGTCAGCTGCGATGGTGGGAGGCGATATTTTCGGGTCCTCATCGTTAGTTGAGGATATCAACGAGAAATGGACTCCTTTCTCAGTTGATGCAGGCATTGTCGTTTGCGTTTTTGTCTTTTGTCAAAAAAGCTGAATAGCTGAATAGATGCGATGTGTCAGTGTGCTTGCCAGTGGAGCGATATGAGCTTGTATTGCACGTTGAGAAGTTGTCTGTAAGCCACTAGATCCCCTCACAAGCTCATAACATACGATAGATGGGGGTGTGGCTGCGAGAGATCAGGGGGAAAGAGGAGAAAGGGGTGCAGTGTATAACCAACCAACACTACGTAGCGTTCTTGATGGGTCAAGCAGTCGTTCGCCTGCACCTTTGCAGGCTTTTGTATGGTGATTGGTGGATCGAGACGATACATGGAATTATCCTTGTATAAAAAGAGACGCGAACTATTTTGGTCGGTTGATTCAGCCGGGGAGGTTCCCGATAAAGAAGGTCAGGCGATTGAGATTCCCAGCGTTATGAGTTCGGCAATTGTTGTCATACTTTTATGGGCCCTGGCTGATCGAAACCGAGAAGAGCCCTCAAGACGAAGTCTGGCCTCACTCCGTTATCTGCGGGGTTGAAGTCATGTCGATACTTCTGAGCGTAGTGCACACAATCGCTTTCTATATCGGCCGTTGAAATCAAGCTGTCTAGCGAGGCCAGTTACTTTTATTGGTCTTATATCTGTCCGAACAAGCCTCAATCCTACGGAGACAACATTGAATTCTTCGCCAGCAGCCGACAGCAAACGATACACAGTCCGGATTCGTTACTGGTTTCCCTAAACGTGCGACTTCGACTAGACGTTCTAACCGCCAAAATGCAAGCTTTCAAACTGGATCTCTCCGTCACAACTTCCGTCTCCGGTCGTCACAACATCCCGCCGCGAGACTCTGGGCCCTCACGACCCAAATTCTGCCCCCTCATTGTGGGGCTTCACGGCGGATGCTATTGCAGCGCATACTTCGATGTCAACGAGTACAGCGCCAGACATATGAGCTCAGCTACTGGAGTCCCATTTGTTGCGATTGACAGACCAGGATACGAACAGACAACCGCGGTCGGCATCATTCCCGAGACCTTATCTTTCCAAGAAGAATGGGGCAAGCTTCTCCATCAGCAACTTCTGCCGGCAATTTGGAAAGAATTTGGCGTTGCCAACGATTGTTCTTCAATCGTCCTTCATTGCCATTCCTTGGGAACCCCTGGAGCATGCGTCGCTGCTGCTCTCCACGCCAACGAGCCATTACCAGCTTACCCCCTCGCCGGCATCAGCATCTCAGGTTTTGGGAACGGCACCAAAAACTTCCGCGATCCTAGTTCTGCGCGCATAGGAGATAACCCCCCGGAGTTCTTCACGATACCGAAAGAAGCGAAAGATGCCATCATGTTCGTTCCTGGAGGAGTTGACCCTGCAATGTTAGAGAACACGGCTATTCTCGACCGCCCCATGCCATTTCGCGAGATCGCCGACCTGTACAGCAAGTTCTTGGCGACTTGGAACGAGAGATATGCTGCCGAAATCAAGGTTCCACTGTCGATTGGCCTCGCCGAGCGTGATGGGCTGTGGTTTGGAACAGAAAAGGACCTTCGAGAGTATGCGGAGGCTTTCAAGGGGAGCAAGAAAGTCGACGCTAGTCTCATACGCGGAGCACCGCACAATTTGGAGCTTAGCTACTGGTCTCAAGGCTGGTATGCTCGTGTCTTCGGGTTTGCAATGGAAGTTGCGACTTCTCACGCCGTTGAAAACGACCAGGCTACGAAGAGCTGAGATAGATTTGGATGAAGGACCACCAAGTGGAAGTTTGTCAATAAATTAGAGATGAATTGCGAATAAACTTCCCCTCTAGACTTTTATTCCCCTTTTTGTATTGCTCATTACGGTCGTATTCTCATCTCTTTCTCATTATGAATGAATCCGCACTCTCCACCACGCCAGCACTCCGAAGCCGATGACGGTGGACAGGGCTGCTCCAAGTAAAAGGCTAGGATTATTCGGTGATAGAGTAGTGGCAATATCTTCCGGGGCCGTCCGACTCTTCAAGACTTCGGCACTCAAAGGAGGATCAATCAAGTCGGGCTCGGTCTCCGCGCCCGGAATTGGGCAGGAGTCCGACTCCGGGAGCCAGACCTTGCCAGCCGCACGACAGGCGGCGCGCCTTGCGCGGTAATCCTTGACAGTGCCACCATCGTCAGCAAGGGGTCCGGACTGGGGAAGTGGGTTTCCATGCGAGTGAGCCCATACCTCCAGACATTCTGTAATATCTCTGACAAGGTTGCTGGCCTTGTGCGGAGCAAGACCCTTGGAGATGAAGAATCCGAAGACGTGATTCGGGTGCATGGAATGCAGCTCAGCGCCGTTCCACAGACAGACGAAGGAGATGGGTCCATCGACAAGGTCAATTTTGCGGTGCCTCAGGAGCTGGAGGAGCCAGAGGCGCACCCGCTCTGGAGAGGCGTTCTCGCTTGGCACGCTGGCCTTTAACGCCTGCAGCGACTTTGCGTGGGTCACCTCCATCTTTATTCGCTCTTATGTGCGACTTCTTGTACGTTTACCCAGCTATCGCGGCTTTGATTCGGTACTGAGAGCCGTGATCGTTCACCCTGTGATGATGGGTCGCGGTTGTGTTTCTTTCAGGCCAAAAAAATCGCCAGATGTCGGTGTGCCCAAAGACCCCGCGTCAGGTGGATATTTCGCACCGCAAACGAGAAAACCTATGGCGGCTACGGGCGAGGTGCATGAGATGGTCGAGCCGTCGTTCTTCTTATTGGCAGTTGAACATCTCACCGCCAGCCCCCATGTCTAGCTCTCCGGGAGACCCCTCCGATTCATCCGGAAGAGGACCAGCTCCACACCGTACCCATGCAACCCTACGAACAGCCCTGGTCATTTGAGTTTAGCTCCACGGGCATTTTGTGCACAAGTTGTATTGCAGCTCGTGAAAACCGTCTTTGAAACAGTCTCGAAGAAATGGAGATTACAAATGCTCCCTCATCTGCCAAGCTTCCGAACTCAGCTAGTAATTCTGCCAGAAACATCTTGGGCGCGTTGTGTCTCCACTTGTGCGATAATCACTTCACTACAAAGAAAAGCATTTCGACTGGGTTAGAATCCTTCGCGGATCGTTTGACGGCCTGAGTAGGTGTATGCTGAGGCCTTTCCGAATTTCCTACGTCTCAATTTCGCCAATGATAGGCTTCAGCAACTCCGGCAAAACGACAGCGGCGTCGCCAACGAACACCCAATCCTGGTTCGGTCGAATACCCTTTGCATCGTCTGCGTGGATGTTGATGACTGCAACTCTCGCGCCTTTCTTCTTGGCCATCTCGGCATACCCAGCAGCGGGCCAAACGGAACTGGAAGTGCCTATAACAAGACAGAGATCGATAGGCGCAGGCTCGTCAAAGACTGCTTCAGTTTCTTCCACTATTTCGACGGCCAGAGGCTCGCCAAACCATACAACGCCTGGCCTGAGAAGGTTCGTCTTACACTTGGGGCATTGCGGTAGGTCTGCTTTGGTCAGCCCGGACGTCAAGCGGATGTTGGCAACTGGGTTGACGGCGAGCTGTTCGGGAGGCTTGAGGGCAGTCAAGTCCTGGACGGTTGGTGTTTCCTCTTTGTATTTGTCCCCAAGGATCTGTCCGTGCTTTCGAGCGATGCCGGCGAGGAGAACCGGGCTGGCCTTTGGCCTGTGATTGGGGTCGATGCTTCCCATAGCCGCATGCTCATCCTTCGAAGGGTCAAGCGCCGGAGTAAGAGATGTCTCAAAGTTGTCGCGCTCGACGTATCCGCACCCGTCCTTGTTGAAGCAAGACAGCGTGAAGAGATTCCCGTGCAGTTCTTTCATCTGATCAGCCGGATGGCCGGCGAGCTGACTCAGGTTGTCGACGTTTTGTGTGAGAGTGATGAAGCCTGGAACTCGGCGGGCAAGCTCAGCCAAGGCGTAGTGAGCTGGGTTGGGTTTCGCGCGAAGTGCTTCCTGTCGACGATAGGTGTAGAACTGCCAGACCATACCCGGATCGTGTCGAAAGCCGGCGGGCGATGCGACTTGTGTCATGTCCTGGTTCGTCCATGGTCCACTGGCTTGTCTGAACGTCGCCAGACCCGAGGCTGCCGAGAGACCTGCACCGACGATGGCGACGATGCGCTTCGATTGTTTGAGTGTTTCATGAAAGTCAGCGACCGCCGCGGGGTCTAAATTGCTCGATGTAGTAATTGAAGTAGACATGTCGGCTTAGTGTGAATCAAGTTTCGACTCAGAGCAGTGAGAGCAGCATGGATGGCATTTTATGGTACCGTCTGGCGTTGGTTGCCTAGTCCGAAGGCAACCAGGCGGCTAAGCTCTGCCTAGCCCCAATGTTACTTATGGTGCCAACAACATACCTAGGGAGCGACCGACTGAAGGTGATGTTTGTTAATCGTGCACCGCATGAGACTGCACCTTCATCTCATCTTAATGATTGAATCTCGACGACAGGTTTCGTTTTGCCATTCAAGAGATCTTTGCCCAGAAGGATTTGACCAAAATAAAAACAGAAAGAAAGGAAAAGAATAGGGGGGGGGAAGGCTAAAAAAGGCACCACGAAGACCTTCCATTTTTACAGCCCGGACAATCAAGTGATATCGCGAAAGTCAAATACCAGCCCTTCGGACATGGCAATTGGTTCTTCGTCAACGGCAAACCCCAAATCAGCAATGACGTCATTTGACGGAGTTTTGTCTTCTCCAGCCGATGTCGGCATGGGTACCTGGTGTTGACCACAATGCTGACAGTTGTCCGATCTTGTCCCTCTCTGTCAGTGAGTTGAAGGCCGATCCGAAACATTGTCCCCAAATACAGACGAAAGCACCGACATGCCGCTTCCCCAGAAGGTGCCGCTCGCACGCTATCTTTTCACGCGGCTTTCCCAACAAAATGTCAAATCCCTGTTCGGCGTCCCAGGGGACTTTACCCTCAGAGCACAAGACCATGTCAAGCCTGCCGGACTGAAGTGGATTGGAAACTGCAACGAGCTCAACGCCGGATACGCCGCCGATGGCTACGCGCGAACACAGGGTCTTGGCGCCCTGATGACTACGTACGGTGTCGGCGAGTTGTCGGCCCTGAACGCCATCGCGGGCAGTTATGCGGAGCATGTGCCCGTTGTGCACATCGTCGGCACGCCTGCGACGAGATTGCAGAAGAGGATGAGCCACATGGCGGAACACGAGCAACGATACCTACACCACACGCTCGCGGACCCAACTAGATTAAACGTCTTTAGTGAAATTGCTGCCAAGGTCACGGCGGCACAGGCGAAGCTCGACGATGCGGGCACAGCGCCGGAGATGGTGGATTGGGTTCTCGGCGAAGCCAAACGGCATAGTCGACCTGTTTATATCGAGCTCCCTAGCGACCTTGTCGGGGTGGAAGTTGACGGTGCTAGGCTCGGGAACAATCTCCAGGCTCCCGAAATTGGCACGAGACATGCTGCGATAGAACAAGCTGATATTCTCTTGAACCGTTTGATGTCTGCGAAACAGCCACTGCTGTTGGTGGATCGCGGGATGGGGATGCAAGAGTTTCGGGGGGAGATCAACAACTTCATCCGGGAATCCGGCATCCCGACGCTCAGTCTACCTTCCGGGGCCGGCATGGTGGACAACGACATTCCGAATTATTATGGTGTACATTCTGGACCTGTAGGAGCAGTTGACACGCTACCCTACTTGGCGACGGCCGATGTTGTGCTGGCTTTGGGTCCTATGTTCTCCGACACCCAAACACTGGGCTGGCAGGTTCTTCCGGAGCCAGCGAAAACCATCGTCCTCGGAAAAGACAACATTAATGGAGTGACCGTCGATGCCAAAGCTCTTTTGTCCAACATATGTGGCAGGCTTCGTCAAGATGGACTAAGAATACCGGGAGTGGAGAACAAAAAGGTACAGCTTCTCGGCGACTGGCGAAGATTGTCAAAGCCGCGAGAGGAACGGGAAGACGGCCCGATCACACAGACAGGACTCTATCAACGGCTCAACAGATACCTGCAGCCCTACGACACACTCATACTTGGGAATGCAACTCCCATCATCGGCGGCCGTGACATGGTCTTGCCTCATGGTGCGCGTGCAGTCTCGTCGGGCATGTGGTTCTCCATCGGTCACATGCTGCCTGCAGCACTGGGCATCAGTCTTGGATATCGCGACAGTGCAAGTCAGGGACAGACCATCTTGATTGATGGAGACGGCAACATACAAATGACGGTGCAGGAGATCAGTACCATAGTTCGAGAACGGCTGGACATCACAATCTTCGTCATACAGAACCAGGGATACGCCTATGAACGACTCATTCACGGCTTAGATGAGCCCTACAACGACCTGGCGCCGTGGCGGTATCTTGACGCGCCTAGGTTCTTCGGGGCGCCGGAGGATTATCCTGTGCAGTGTCATCGGATTGAGACGTGGAGCGAGCTGGATAACCTCCTGGGCACGGAGAGTTTCCGTGCTGCCAAGGGATTTAAGCTCGTTGAACTGGTGCTGGGCAAATATGATGTGCCGGAGAAGTTTAGGCAAGTCTTCAAGAGTGCCGGAGAAAATCTTGGATGATGAAAAAAGAAAACCCGAAACAGCTTGCTAGTATTTTACAATGACATATCTTACAGTTATTCACGTCCGAACATGATCCGACTTGACCTAAACCACTCTGGCGTTGATCATTTGACCGGGAGTCCTTGGCTTCTCATTGTAAGCCCAAGAGTCCACGCCGGAAGTTCCCCATCGCCTCCACCAGCGGTAGCCATATGACTGGCCCTTTTTGGCCGTCCAGTGATTATTGGGAGCTTTGCGGGTTTTGGGACGACCGTGGAGGCCTGAATACTTGGGATTAGCAATGGTTGCAAGTGTCGAGTGGCGAAATCGAGGAACTCACATCTTCCTTTGTATTTCTTGGTTGTCTCTCTTTTAGTGAACCTGCTGCAGATGGTGCAGTATTTCAGATCCCCGGCCCAATCTCGAAGTCTTTTGTACAGGGGGCATGTGATGCACTCGCAGTGTGAGCACCATTTTCTATGACAAATTCTGTGGCCAGGAGGATACCGTGGGCAGTACCACGGTTCGGCGCAAGTCTCTCGGCTGTGCAGGAAGCAATGATGGCGGCGCCGACGGTGCATGTAGGGGTGATAAGCAACGTCACCAATGGGTTGGCCGCATGCAGCTAAGCGTGGCTCCTCGGTGAGGGATTCGTCGCAGGAAACCAGAGAAGGTTTTGCGGGAATTAACGGTCGTGTGAGGTCTCGAAAAAGATGCGATGTCAGAGAAAGACAGACGAGATCATTTTGCTGGCAGTAGAAGAGAATCTCATGCAGGATCTCGGGAGGGCCCTGGGTGAGGAGACAGAAGGATGGTTGTGATGATGAACCCATGGTGGTCGTGGGCTGTAGCTGAATCAATGACAACAGGAGACAGTGAAGAAGAAAGTGTTGATATCTCCAGACTTGGATGCCATCTTCGACAACATGAGATGTTGCCGTTTTATAGAATCACGTCGTCGTTGTTGCCCGAAGGAATTCACAAGTGTTTGGGACTTTGGAGAGAGGCGCCAGGCAACACCCACCCATGTCCGGCCAATGGCGCCGTCGGTGCCTGCCGCTAACGATCCGGCCCCACATCCTGCCTAGCCCGGCCGCCACCCGGGGCAGTGCGGAAAGATGGCGGTTGCAGAATCATCTGATAGCTCCAGTTACCTACCTTAGTGTACCATACACTCTGAAGGTCGAATAAAATATTCTTGCGAGATGTCTTGAAGTCGACTTTTGATAGCACCCTCCACCTGCCAAATATGGCTCCTTCTTTCCGTGCCGCCGAACTGGCTCAGCTCTCCTCCCCGCAAAGCTCGTTCTTTTTGGGGAAATAAATAACCTACCACGACACTCTTTTGGAATTTTGACGGCTATCCCTTCTTTCGATAACTTCGGCAGTTCCGATATCAAAATCAAATCTGGGCGAATGAGCTTGGGTCGTCGACGGCTGGCGTCGCCTCACCTCACCACCTGCTACCTTCCTCATCTGCTCTCAACAAGCTGACCCCGACAGAACGGTGAAGTTGTCTCGGTACACACTACTAAAAGACAAGATTCGTCGGAGGAAGGAGTGGCTGGGTGGCCATCGTTGACGAGGGCTTGACTGGGAGGTATACCTTGATGCAAGAGTCTCTCATCACCGTTTCCTGTGCCTGGGCATGCTAACAAGGCCAACAGGAACCATCCCAATTGGATCGCGAACTCGATGGCGCCGAAACCGAGAACAGCACAGCCGTCCTCGCCAGACACTAACCCACGCCACACGAAGCCCGAGTATCTGTTTTACAAGAGCATGAGAGATGGCATTCCCAGTTTCGACGTCCTGGTCATGTCCCGGCGCAGCCTTCACAAGAGATCTGCTATGCAACAGATCAGCATAGGGAATATCGTTCCAAGTACAACAGAAGGATTTTACATACACAACTTCGACGGCGTCACTCTCGAACTCAAATCGCTTGCCAGAGTCACATTTCGCACCAGGGATCTGGTGATATCCGAGGCAAGGGCTTGCTATGCACCGAAGACATGTGGTTTCCTTGCGTATCGATCTGAGGACGGCTTGCAGATCCTTAAGCTCTGCCTAAGTGGCGACAAGCTCAGACCTCATCGCGCCGCCAATAACGACTTTGGACTATGCTCACGCAAGTGGACCAAACACGTGAAAACCCTTGCGCAACTCCTTGGGGTCAATATGCGAACCCTCTACGACGGCCATGGGCGCCAGGCTAGGGAGGAAGATAGAGGAAATTGGGCCGCAGCTCATTGCGAGAAAAGGCTAACCGCCTTCGCTGTGCACGCATTTCTCCAGTACTACAAAATCCCAAGAAGTCAAGTCACGCTCCAAACTCTGGCCGAGTTGAAAAACTGCCTTGAAAGAGAAAGCAGAACGCCGCTGGAGTTAGAACTTCATGTTTCACGAGGGCCCTGCGGCATGCCAAAACGCCCTGGGACCTGTGTCAAGTTTGTTGAGAGACTTGGGAGGGCCTGCGGTATCAGGTTCGATATCGTCTTCTTTGAGGACGGCTCCAATCTCATTGTCGACGAATCCGTCCCACGAATAAGACGCCACACGAAGAAACACAGAAGCGACAGGACTATTGGTCGAGCAGATGTGTACAACTCAGAGGAGGAGGACTTCCTGGTGGAATATTCAGATAACCTAGCGGATGTCTCGCCTGATGATGGTTGCGGCATGATGATGGATGGAAACCAAGAGGCCACCCAAGTTGCTGACCTTGAGATTATTGACCTCGATTCGGAAATCATCTCCCCACCTGGCAAAGACTCAGAAGGCAAACTAGTAAGTACCCAGGGCATGGTATCGCACGAGTCTAGGGGTCGAGAAAAGAGGGCCAGAGCTAGCCAACATCTTCACGAGGCAAGAGAGAGGACCCCAAAAGCCTCTGCAGCTAAGCGGTTAGGGTCGAGAGGAGATGTTCATCAAACAGGACGCAAGGTGAAAATCGCCGAGAAATCCCCCTCTCCGGTCCAGATGAACGAAATCGGCTGCCGTCAATTCACCTTTTGTTGGAACAGGGGGTTCTGTCTGTGCTCCTCACCCCTGGGATCTCAGCCCAAGGACCCTTCTTCCTGGATGCAAGAATTGGAGAACCCTTGAGGAGGAAGTAAGCTCGAGCAGAGACAATGAGAATTGGCAGCAACATAAAAGCGTCGATGGAGGGGGTGGTGAACTCGGGTTCACCTATTTGCAAGTATCGCTCAACATCATGATGTTGCTATTTCCCAAATGGCAGCTTGAATTTCACAGGAATTCCCTTTCGAACCCAGTTATCCAATCGTTCCGTGACCCTCAACCAAGCTATCGTCAGCCTTCCCATTCGCCGTTTTGGGCGTTCCGGCTTTGTAATACGGTTTAGGCACATTGTCATAGTAAGGGATGACGATGATATTCGGGTCATCACTTTGCCCGACCTGGAACTCAAGTCAGCAAACTGTTTTTGACGGGAGGTAGTGACGTACCATGGCCTTAGTAGTCGCTTGATATGGCACATCGGAAACGTTGAGATTGAGCAGTCCTGGACCCTTGGTACTCGACAGACTACCGACAGTCCGCTTCAGCGACTCCAACGTCTTGGAGCCATCACTCTCAGAGCTGTCATCGCGATGGACATCGACTACGGCAGACAGGCAGCCGAAGCCTTGCGCGACGACCTCGTACTTTACCTTGGGGTTCATCGCAATACAAGGCCGCTGCGGGGTCTTGTCACCGTAGATAATCTCCTGTCCTGCCAGAGACATACCCCAGACGGCGTTGTTGACGATGACGGTGAGGATGTTCAAGTCGTACTTGGCGTACGTGTCAAGCTCGCCAATGTGGAAACCTGCGCTGCCGTCGCCCTGCAGGTTGACAATCAAACTTTCCGGAGAAGCTACGGCGGCACCTGTTGAATATTGTCAGCCGTTGTGTATGCCCGAATTCTGGGACGAATGACTTGCCAAGCGAGTATCCCCAGCCATTTCCAAGGCATCCCAAGTAACCCGTCGTCACCATGGATAGTCGGGGTCTGGCCTCGTTCAGGCACTGAAGAGCCCATCCGCCAGCCTCACCGCCATCAACACACACAATGCTGTCTTCTGGCAGCGCCTGGAACAGCTTCTTGACGGCGTGATATGGATGCAGTCTGTTATTTTCTAGGAGAATCACAGGCTCCCTTTCGTTCGAGGCAGAGGCGACGGCAGAGCTCTTCAGACTCATGGTCTTCTCCACCCAGTCGTCTGCTGCTTTGAAGGGAGACTTTGATGCTGCGGCTATCATCGCATCTGCCGCCTGTCCGACGTCTGCGACAATGCCGACCTAAGGAAGTCATGTTAGTCAAGACTCTGGCGAGAAGATGAGGGTCTTGCTCCTACATCAATAGTCCGAGAACGCCCAATTTCCCCGCCGTCCAGGTCGACTTGTACAACACTGGCTTCGCCTTCATTCGGAATGATCCCGCCACTTCTACCACCCATCAAGAACCCAGTTCGAGCTCCCAGCAAGAGCACAAAGTCAGGGACTTGACCGCCGAGGTAGCGCAAGACCGCAAGCTGCGTGGCTGATCCGCCGAATAGAGAATGAGAACGCTTGATGGACGTTGAGTACTTTGGCGAGTGGAAGATGGGCGTGTTTGTTGCCTCTGCCAGCTTTGTGACATTTCCAACTGCGCTGGCGGCGCCGGTGGAAACAATAATAACAGGTCGCTTTGCGTTCTTCCATAGACCAAGTGCCTTTTCGATGGCTCCAGGATGAGGAGCAGGGTTCAGCGACAAGCCGGAAAGAAGTCCCCCAGACGAAATGCTCTCGACCGGAGTCGACAGCACATCAATCGGAATGTCCACCAAAACCGGTCCAGGCGCGCCCGACGTGGTCGCTCGCCACGCCAGACTGACAATGCGAGGAATCTCGCTGACTTCGGTGATTTGATAACAGAACTTGGTCACCGGCTTCGACAGGGTGACTTGATCATGGAAGCCTTGCAGCGCATTGGTATGCGCATCGCGGGGCGGAGCTGAGCTGGTAACACAGAACACTGGAGACCGGTCGGCGAAGGCGGTGCAGAGGCCGGGATAGGCATTGGCAAAGCCCGAGTTGGCAGTGAAGAAGCAAACACCCGGAACATTGTTGCCTTTAACCTTTGCCCAGCCCTCGGCAGCCTGCACGGCGACGGTCTCATGTCGGACGTCGATGAGCTTGATGTCGGCCTCAACCGCGGCGACGAGGAACGGATCGAGATGTCCACCTTTGCACTGTCAGCACTTCATTCCGAATCCCGAACGATGTGAATACCGTGAAGTCCGAATGCTGTATTTGCACCGAGGTGCGCGAGAGACTGGGCGAGGAGATCACCGCCACAGGCGGTCTGTCGGGTCTTGGGCTGCTTGAGTGGAAACGCCATTTTGTCTTGAGGGTTGGAAGTGAGATACACGAATTGGTCTTGCGCGAGGCGATGTTGGAGTTTTGCGGAACCCTCGGAGCAGGAGGTTCTTCAGGAAAAAAATGCCCTCTGAAAATGAGGCGGCTCATTCTTGTTTATGTCGTCACATCATCTGATCTTCAATCAATATAACCGAACTACCGAGCATACCGGCGTGGTGCTGATACTAACCCCGCATAGAGGGGTTATTGATTTCCGTCGGTATCCCCAAACACAGTGGCAAGGAGGCCCCTCAAAAGTGCGTGTTGGTTACATTTGCATGTACGCCAAGGGAATTGTCATCGTGGCGTTCTTCAAAATCAGTCCCATAAAAAGATGCTGCCATCAGAGCTCAACAACATGTTGTGAGGAAGCTCAACCATGCGAACCTCGAGCGTTCTGTAACAATGTCTTGATTTTGAGTACCATGAGAAGAATGTTAGTACACCTTTCTGCGTGCATGACACTAATGATGAGGATTTACCACACTCTTGCTGCGGCGACATCTGCCCCGGCCAGCGCTGACTGGTTGACCTCCATCTACGACGGTTTTTGAATCTGACCTTCTGCAACGTTGGCACTTCACATTCTAATGATGGTGGCAATTGGGCAATTTGAATGAATCCTCCGCTCAATTGTGTATATTTCTAGGCGGTCCACGCAGATTAAGTACCGACCGAGCTGATCATTCAGTCATCTGGTATCAGAATCATTATATCCACGGCACGACAGGAAATGGAAAGCGGTCATAGAAAGAGGACAAGAGAAGGTTTGTCTCTGCCGAATCTTTCCAGAGCCTCAAAAGACAGGCATCTATATGTCAGCAAAGGCAGGTCTCTGAGTCTGTCAGTGAAGGAAGTCAGTCAACATGCTTTGAACTGCACCTTGCACCAGCACCAGAAAGTCGAGCTTAACTGGTCCATCCGCATACTCTGACTGTCCTGGTACTAATGGTGTTGATTACTTGTATTGCAATAAATGTAACTCTCGAAGAGAAGATCCTGTAGAGCAGAGCTCGTTTATCAAGTCCTTGAGAAATTGAGAACATACCAAGCTTCAGTATTTCACAGAGTAATTCCTGCCCTACTTGGTCCTAGACAATGATCCCAAACATGTTTGTGCTTGTCTAAATATGCATGGAGCCTCTTTAATACCAGTTTCCATTTCTTTCATCCCCCTTTTATGACTTCCCGCCTCGTTCACAACTCCTCACTACTCATCGATTGGCTAGGCTTGCGGTAGGCCATCCCATGAGATTTTCTCTGTCTCGAGCCCGCTCAAACCTCCGACTCCAGACGCCCCTCTAGGAAGGAAGAGCCTAGCTGCCCTTGGGGAAAATATCTTGCCTTCCATTTCAGTTGATCTGGGTCTTCCTTCCTTCTCGTTGGCCTCTAGTCCCTGAGACAACCCCTCAACAGTAATTTTCGACTTTCAGCAGGCATCTCACGTACAACTTTGGAGGGAGCTCCAAAGTCTGGAATGAACAGTACGAACTCTTTCTTTTCAAAAATCGACGACCAACAAAAGTGGTTTCCTTCCTCTTTCACATCATCTCCCATACCAAACCGAATCTCCTCCTGCGGAAGGTGAATTCCCCAGCTCGAACACCAGCAACTGCTCTCGAAAAGGCCCTGCTCTGCTTCAACACTCTCCTAGGCAGCTTGAGCCCTCGATTTCGTGCTCTACTTTGCCAAATCATCTTCGCAACTCACTACCTCCCGCAAACAAGACAAAAATGGCGGTCGATGGCCAAGACTGGCGTTTTGCAACCACTCAAGCTCCCATGCGGCGCCGACCCAGACTTAACAGCTTTGTGTTCCAGAATATTCCCGGCAGAGCCGGCCCTCGGTCGTTGTCTTTCGACATTTTCCTCCTCATCATCGATCAACTGATTCAAGACGTGAAGGACGAAGAGACCCCAGCGTTGTGGTGCTTTAGTTACGACGCCCGCGTTGATACCAGATTCGTCCTCCGCGATTACGCCAGGGAACACGCCGCACCTGGAATGTACGACAGCCACAAGTGCCGCTTCAACAGCATCCACCTCCCCCTCGAGATCAGCCGGGCCACTCGCGGCCTCGTCCATCAGCACTTCATCCGCCTTCCCATGGTCGCAGCAGACCTTGCCCAGAACCTCATCGTCGACGCCTGGGTCCTTCCCGAGATTGACAGGTTCAGGCCCCAGTCTACCATGGGCTACGGTTACCCCGACTGCCTGAACAACATCATCTTCACCAACACCCTCCTTCTACCGCCCCCGCGAGCGGTTCTGGTACTTAACTGCATCCGCACCATCCATCTCAACTCACCTGGCTTCTTCGCCAGCGACAACCCCAGAGGCGTCGGCAGTTTGCTCACCCTACCCAACCTCAAGAGCATCATTTGCAACGTCGACTTTGGAGGCGTCGTAGAGGATGATCTGAGCCCGCGCTCCCCCGACGTCATTGAGATACCCGCCCTGCTTGATTCTCTGACGCAGTGGCGCGACCATAACGAGCAGGCGTTCATAGCGATGTGGCCCGCGTTCGAGAAGAAGGGTGTCAATATGCTGGGCAAGTGCATCTTTGGCGACGAGCAGCCCATCTTGGAGGTTCTCCGGACGCCGTATGGCATTCGGATTCGGTACCTGAACCCGGATGCTCGAGTCTCTGAGTCTTCCGAGTCGCAGGATGGCGAGAACTAGATGAGCAAACATCTTGGAAAGGTGATCTAGTTCTAACAGAGACATCTTATTCATGGTTGCAGTTCTGCAATTGGATCGGGCTTGGAGACGGGAGGGATCGGAATCGGAATCGGCAAGGCGTTTGGGCTGGGAGGAATGACTCGGCAAGATGGCCTACGAGACTTCGTTCGCTCGTTGCAACATCAGGACGGATGATGAGTATCTCGGCTAGTTACTCAAAGATGTCTACTATGCCACTGTCTTCTGGGAAGGAAGATTGAAGTTAGCTTGCTGCAACAGAATACGGGTTTCTACACTGGTCACCCTTGGAGATTCAAATGTGACGAGAAATCACGGCTACCCAATACGCCGGTTTATTTACGATACAGTATTGCTGAGAGGATGGGACCGAGAACCTATTCGCTCGGCCCATCGTCACCTGGTGTCTGAATCCCCAAAACTGCAAAAAGGTCGTCAACCTCGGTATGATCTCGATGGTTCCGCATCCGATGACACCATGTCACAACTTTGCCCGCTTCACCGGGCTCAAAGACGAATTCCCCGCCAACACGTATGGGGTTCCCGGCCAGTAGAAGCTTCGAAAACTGGGTCACAATATTCCAGAGCCCGTTTACAAAGTGCCAGATCCATCTCTCGGGCGAGTACCTTGTTCTGGCACCCACAGCCGTGGTCTTGGCCATTTCCAGCACATCAAAAAGCCTCCCTGTGGGGTCTGTAAAGATTGGAAAACGGCACTTTGTTTTCTCTGCATACTCGTTGATGAGAGCAGGCTCGCCGTTGCCGACGATGACAAAAGTGGTGGACACAGGGAGGGTAGAAAGTAGAGCGGGCGTCGCGGTGGAGGAGAGGAGCTCAATGTACGATTGACATGCCTTTCGACGTCAGTATCCGGCACGAATCAAAAAAAGGCCGGAGCTCACCCCGCAAAAGAAGTGGCGGATGAAGACCACTACAACCCTTGGGGACGTTTCCTCCCCGTCATAGACCGATCGGAAAAGGTGCGGCTGTCCCTTGTGATCCAGGACTTCGATGTCGGCCGCTTCGGCAAGGATCTGGGATGAAGGGAGGTCGTCAGTGACTGGGAGATCCTCCACAGCGTCGAGCTTGCACTCTGTCATGATGAGTTTGGATGCGATGAAATGTGTCTCGCTCAATTTAAGATAGGGAGAGACGAGACATTTGGAGCGGAGAGGAAGACGAGGTCGTACTTAAGAGAGGGAGTCAGCTGACGGGCGTTGACGGCCTCTTTTCATTGGCGACTTCGAATCTTGGCGCGAGCCAAAGTGCATCCTTCAAATGCCGAGACCAGATGGGGAGCCCTTGACTGTCACTTGCCAAGTTCCTGGTCTGTTTGGGTCTGGCCTCATTTTCCTGCCCGCTAAGTTCAGTGACCAAGGTGCCTTACCTTTCAAGTACCTACCTTGACGTAAGCTAGATTGCTTAAATCCAACAACGAAGAAAATTGCAGCACGAATGCGTCATACTTAAAGTCAATAGCTGAAGATTGCTCTGGTGTTAAAGGATCCATACATGTTCGAAGATTAGTGACAGACGAAAAGATCGCCTGCACTTTTTCCCAACCTAGCTAACCCTTCTGTACTGATTCATTTTCGTTGATCCATTGCGAATTTCACCTGAGAACTGGTGTACCTATATCTACATCCAACCCTCATGCCTAGACCTGCGACTCTCAAGTCTGCGTCTCAGACTCTCAGCCTCAGCTCTTTCAAGATCCATAATCTCCCAGTCGAACTGCTCCTTGAGGACATCCAGGCGCTCGTCGATCGTTCTGCATATGGACCGGATATTCGCCAAGATCTGACGACGAGAGATGCGGTTGCCTTGACGCAGCTGCTCCTTGCACCAGTTGTGCATATTCTTCTCGATGGCGTTGCTAATTCCATGCGCTGTGTCGAGGTATCTTTTGTAGACGTCGTATCTTTCTGGTGTCAGACGCTGGTAAAGTAATTGGAATTCAATCGATCTTAAGTGGGGTGTCATGGTGGGTATCCAGGCCTCTTGGAATTGCCTAAAGTACACCCGGGGGCACAGGCTGTAGGTCTTGTCGTCTGTGGCATTCGTCTTGGAGGTTGCGCTGCTGTTGGTGTCCGCATTGCCGCCCACGTTTGTGTTGGCATTGGCATGTGTGCTGCTATCAACACAGCCGTTCGTGTGGTGAGCGGAGTTGCCACCGTGGTCCATGTCGGATGAAAATGTTTTGGTGGATAAGCCGTTCATTTTGCTTTCGGTTGGCGATGCTGAGGTATGATGAGAAGGAAAAGCACCAGAATGGATGAAGATGGAAGAAATAAACCATTTTCATGTCCTTCTTTCCATCTTTCAAGTAGACCGAGAAATGAAAATATTGAAACTCTGTTGAAATAGAATTCACGGCTGAACCGGTCAGGTACCCAGACAACTACCTTGACGGGCGTCAGGCAAGGCGTTCATTCCAGGTTGTCCACTGAAGGCAAGATCGAGCTCTCCAGGTCCGTGAACCCGACTGGCACCACTCAATCTCCACTCACTGGAGAGCACGACGAGAACTGCGCCAAGACCCAAGAGTTTGGTACGCGAAGAAGTACCTGCCGTTTTGGCGCCGGCCTACTGCCGGCGCCACAGAGGTAACTCGGGAAGCAGTGCTAGAAACACCTTTTGTGTCGGTGGTTGATTGCCTGGTTCCCATGGCTGCTACTTGACAGACGGCGTGCGAAACGATCACCTCAAGTAGCACAGCGGGGGCATGCTGGTACTCGGATAGTTATTGATCTTTTGACGTAGCAAATTTCAGAGTCTGCATGTTTAAAAAACGGTAGCTGGCTGTGGGCAGTCTTAGATATTAACTGAAGACAGATGCTATAGCAACAGACAGCAACAGTAACAGCAGGGCCTGGTTTCAAGTAGAGGTAAGTTAGAGATAGACTTCAAATTACCTATACTATAGATACCTATAGGTACCTATCTAAATAGGTTAAGTTATAAGTATACTTAGAATATAGGTAGATAAGTTTATTAGATATATAAGTAGATATTAATCTAAGTATAGGTAGAGATTTTATTTATACCTATAAATTAAAGGTATATACTTTTTAATAGATATAGTAAGGTATTGTACTAACTATTCTATTAATTATATAAAATTTAATTTATTAATAATATAGGTTACTTATCTTAAAGGAAATAAATTTATATTATAATAATT